GACCCAGTTCACCGCAAACCTCGATTCAGATGAGTCTTCTATAGTTTTGATCAGCGGTCTCATAGAGTGAGGCATGTCTGTGGTAAGCTCATTCTTGTACCACCTATATAAGATGATGTGCCGTTAGCTTAGTATCACATTCTTGAATAGGACAGAAATCACATCATATATGGTTACGATTGCTTGAGGGGACTGACTTACGCTGCATAATAAACAATTGCAAGCATGATCCGTGTCTTGTTGGTGAGGTTTGGCATTCCAGCATGCCTAGATACAACAGCCAGAATTAGATGCAGACTCATCATCGACCAGAGATTTTGTGAACCCACCATAATCGTAAATCACGAAGAACAATCGAGCCTTTCTTTATGCTCGGATAGCAAGGCGGTCTGACTTTCCTTCGTTCCTTGAGGTAGTGCTCAGCAATCGACGGATCGCCATTCTTCACATGATAACTTAAATTGGTGTTCTGCGTTCCCAGCCAAAGTTCTGTAGTGCCGTTCTCTGGACCTACATCAACAAGGCAGGTATTGTAAGCAATACCGAAGGTATGCTCTGGATGTTTGCAAAGAATATCAGCATGAACTAGCTGGCGATCGTTGGCGGCTAGTAGTGTGTTGGATCGAAGAAAGTGGACTTCAGGACGAGGACCGAGGATAGCTGACATTACACGGACGGCATGTTTATTGCCATAAATTTCGGGGAAGAACCACTCTGTATAGTACTTGTTAATCGCATCATCCAAAGAACTGATTTGGAAAGACAGAGGAGATAATCTTCAAATACCTGGTTCGATTGGGGGAACCTGGGATAGATTACCACCTTCCATGGCTCCTTTGAGTGAGGCATCTTCATTGAGGTGGCTATAGGCGTCAATATGCATTCGATAATCGAAGTTGCCAAGTGAGGCTTACTTGTAGACTGCCGCCTGTCGATCATTAAGAAGCTTCTCTGTGTCCTTGAGCATCCTCGCATTGAGTTTATCAATGATACCAATCTTAATAGCATTTTCAATTACAACGATACCGTCGATAAAGAAGGCATCCACAGCATCGTAAAACTTTTTGTCACTCATTATGCCGCTGTCGCGCTCTTCAGCCGTGAGGCTGATGACTCGAGGCGCATCGCTTGTTGAGGACTTGGCCATCGAAGTAGCTAAGAAAGAGAATGACTGAATCGTTGTAGATAGGGCTCCGATCTATCGCAGCATAAGGGTATATCAATAGCCACGCGCAACTTCATGGAACAAACTTTCGGTGCAGAATGACTTGCTGCTGTATATGTATGCTGTCATTGCTATGACATTATTTAACAAAATAAAAGTTTCGGCTTAATTTCGAACAACACACCACTGACAGGAAAACAATGCAAAACCAAGAAAAGCCTGTTGTCTAACAAATTGGCCCCGACCCGGATCCGACTTACAAACTCATCCGCCCTGTCAACATTTCTCTCCTTAACGAAAGTACCCAGGGGTGAAAAGACCGACTAGCGTGTCTTGTTGTGGGGCTCGGAGGAGTAATTGATCGGGCCCGATCGTTATCTCATCCGAGATACCTCAATTGTCGTACTGGTGCCCAATAGCAATTTGAGCTATCGACTGACTCTTATTCAATCACTATAAAGATACCATGAGACTAGTAAACACGAGTCGCCAGATATCCAGTTTTTATAGTCCGTAAACCATCCACTTTTCGACCAGCTTCGTTTGAAAGTCTTGTTCACTTTGCATTCCTCTTCGAGAAAGAAAAAGAAAAGCTTATCACTTAATGCTCCTCAATTCAGCTTACTTTGAACCAGTTGAGCAACATGCCTGATCGAGGGCATACATTGGTGTTTCTTGTACTTTTGACGGCAGTCTTCAATGGATGTACACAGGGCTACGACCAAAGCATGATGAACAATCTGAACTTAGTTGATCAATATGTTGATTGTAAGCAGCAAACAACCAGTTACTTAGTTCTTTGCGGCTCATTGACTGACATTTCATCTATCAGACTTCAATCTCGACGACAATATGCTCGGCCTTAACGTTGCAATGATCAATGCAGGCTCGGTTATCGGTGGCTTATTTGCGGGTCAACTTTGTGATAGATGGGGACGGAAGATGGGTATTGCCGCTTCGGCGGTGATCACACTTGTCGCTGTGGCTATTCAAGCATCCGCAACTCATGAAGCGGCTTTCTTAGTGGGAAGAGTCCTGCTCGGCATCTCGATTACTGTCAATGGAACGGCTGCACCGGTCTGGGTGATGGAGATGTCTCATCCTAGATGGAGGGGATTTCTTGGTGGAATGTATATGGCCATTTGGTATTTTGCTGCAATCATCGTATCATGCATTTCTTTGGGGACTTACCAGTTCAACTCGACCTGGGCCTGGCGGGGCCTTGCAGTTGTACATTTGCTCGCTTACCTTCCAACGATGATATCGACTAACTCTCCAGTAGGGCCAAATAGTACCGTCCTTGCTGAGCCTCATGCTTCTTTTTTGGGCACCGGAAAGCCCTAGGTGGCTTATTTCTAAAGATCGTAACGATGAGGCTTTTGACCTGTTGGTCACTTTACACGGAAAAGGGAACGCCGAGGACGCACTTGTGCAGGCAGAGTACAAGGAGATTTGCGACACTCTCCACTTTGAACGAACACGCCCTGGTAGCTTCAAGGCATTGGTTTTCCCAAGTAAGTCTAGAAGCAAAATACCCGGGATCATACCACTGACTCAATCCGTAGGAAGTAATCTTCGCCGTTTTGGAATTGTCATTGCTCTCAATATCTTTGCCCAGGTTACTGGGAGCAACATCGTTTCGTAAGTAAATTCAGCCATGAAATGACTCTTGGTGTTGACTATATGTAGTTCGTATTCTGGCCTCGTTTTCGAAGGTGCCGGAGTCACTGATGTCTACACTCAGATGTGCATTAACATCGGCATCAATGTATTCTGCTTCTTTTGTGCCGTTGCTGGTTGTTTCTCGATTGAAAGGATAGGGAGAAAATCGCTTCTTTGTACGTCACAAACCTTCATTTGACGAGAGATGTCACCCAGTAAGGCCATTTGAGCAATAAACAGCTAACGTGTAGTAGTTTGCGTATCGTGTCTGATGGTGCTACTTCTTGTCATCATTTGCATATTATCAGCACTCTTTGGCGATGGTTCAAACACTTCCGCTTCTTATGGCAATTTGGCAATGATATTTCTTTTCTCAGGAGCGTATGCTCTAGCATTTAACCCTCTTACATTCGTCTATCCAGCTGAGGTCATGAACTTCTCTCAGCGAGCAAAAGGTATAGCAGTTGGTCAGATGGCCTGTTATGCATTCGGGTTTCTCAACCAATATACAACCCCTGTCGCCATGAACAATATTGGGTGGAGATACTACGCGATTAACGCTGCTTGGGACGTTATAATTTGTTTTATCATCTGGTTCTGGTTTGTCGAGACAAAAGGACTGGCTTTGGAAGAGGTGGATCAGTTATTTGACGGAGTAGTGCACACCGAAGGCATACTTATTGGCAACGGTACGAATATCTCCCTAAAATTGGGGGACGACGTAGAAAACTCTCAAACTACTCCTGCCGTCCAGGACAGTATCAAAAAGGAGTAGAAACCCCTGATAATTTAATTAGTAGGCATTAGAGAAGTCGTTGTAATGCCCTTCTATCTCAGCCTTAGCTAATTGACGGACAAGGCCACCATGGAGCACTACAGAGCTTTAGTCAGTGTCCCATGTTTTTAGTCTCTTTAAGTTCTTTCAGTAGTTATTCAGTTGCAAGATTCCCGTTTCAAGGTAGTACGACTCGATTTAGTTATCGTCCAATAAACAACACGGAATATTTTATAGGTATAGAATGCGGGGAAAAATCTAGACGTGAGAAAATATCTTCTAGTGATACACTGATACACCATTGGGGCTTGTTTTCATGATTCCCTTCACAAGCGCGGAAGCTTTGCCTAACACGAGATCTGTGAACATCATTGAGGCACACCACTATGACTTACATTAAAGCTCTTTGACTAAGGGTGTTCAAATCACCATGCTCTGCAGGAATACTATGTGTAACACGAAGGTCTGAGTATCCAAATTGTTGGTACAGGGCTGGGTCCAATACTTTCGTTGGTGAAGTTGTGCGATAGGCCTTGCTATTTAGCAACGGGTTGAAGTATATTGGGAAATTGACCTGAAGATCATACTTGATTGTGTTGATCGGCTGTAACCTTGATCTTAGGTAGCGAGAGCGAAGCATTGTCAGGTCTAGCAATCTGGCATAAGTGATATGCCAAAAGCAAGGAGCGTCCTCAAGAGAAAAGCACTCAAAATATGTTAGAAAAAGAATCTGGCAATATTTCATCGTTTTGGAAGCGCGAACAGGCCCAATTCTAACCCAGACAACTTCAGAATTATGATTAGGAGCGTTATGAGGACAAGGTAACCTGGACGACTTACACTGTTCATAATCATGCTACACGGCAAATTGGGAGCCTTATGTCCCTCCACAGCGACAGCGAATTACTTAGAAAGCAGAGATACTGTCTCTGAGTCCGGACCCGCCGAATAACCCCTTCCGTAATTTCGCTGCCCCGGATTACTCCCAAAAGAGAAGTGGAGACATTTCGAGTTCGGACCTGCCGAGTGTCCCGCTCCGTCATACTTCTTTCTACCCTTAATTAACAAGGGCCTGTTTACCACCAATGTGCCTACGTAGCCCTGGCACTCACCTGGTTGGGCGTTTGCATTATGAGCCGCGCTGTAGTTGGAATGAATTATCAGTTTCCAATGTACCCCACTTGCTTCGTAATAGCTGTGCCCTCGCTACTCGGCCATACTTGGTAGACATGGGAGTGCGTTTGCGACGCTATACCAATGCTCCTACTTAAGAGTACTGTGTGCTGTCCTAGAAGTGCAGTACCAAAATCCATCAGATTCAATCAGAGAATTGTCGAGTCTCTTATCTCTATTCACCATCCCCGCATACCAACCCTACGCCTCCTTTAGTCCAGCAACATGTCTCTCAAGCCGATCACTCTATGGGCGCACGACAGTGGCCCCAATGCCTGGAAGGTGGCAATTATTCTTGAGGAGCTTGATGTCCCTTATACGGTCAAGTTCCTGGAATTCCCGGACATGAAGAAGGAGCCGTACGTGTCTATTAACCCCAACGGCCGAGTGCCTGCAATCCAGGACCCGAATACAGGCACGACGCTGTGGGAGTCAGGCGCTATATTCGAATACTTGATCGAAATCTACGACAAGAAAAATAAGATCAGCTTCGCCCCAGGAGTCAGAGAGTACTATGAAGCAAAGCAGTGGCTGTACTACCAAGTGTCAGGCCAGGGCCCGTACTTTGGGCAGGCCATATGGTTCACCGTCTACCACCCTGAGAAGCTTCCCGGAGTTGTCGACCGCTACATCAATGAGATCATTCGCGTATCCGGTGTCCTAAACCGCGTCCTAGAAGACAGGGAATTCCTCGTCGGCGGCAAGTACAGCTATGCCGATGCGGCGTTCGTGACGTGGTACATCGTTATGCGCCTTTTCGCTGATAGGGTCAACTTTGAAGCGGATTTCCCCTTCCTTCACGCCTGGCTGGAGCGTATGAAAGCCCGTCCAGCTATTGCAAAGGTTCTAAAGGATCGCGAAGCCGCTATGGAGGCCAAGTAAGAGCATGTCGGGGCGGGGAGGTTTCTCTGCCGAGGTCGATTCTGCCTTTGGGTTCAAGGTGAAGTCCCTACTGGATGCCAGCCAAACAGAGCAGTCTTCATCGTGTCGAAATACTATATACATGATGTTTAGAGATAATAAATCCAAAATCTCGTTTCATCGGATTTTTAGTCTGTTCAGCTTCCTGTATTAGCATTATGGAGAAAATGGCACACTATTTTCGGCTCGTGAATCGTCTCATACTATTCTATGAATCCCCACTAAACGAACTGACGCTATCAGAGGATTTGCGAGTACGGGAGACACATTTCCGTTCCTAACTCTAATACTAATGACGACATCTGAGGAATTCGGTAAAAGGAAGCTGTTTAAAGCCTTCGAGGGCAGAAGTCACAACGCACATTCAAGGTAAATCTATCACATGTGGTCGCATAGCCCTGGAAGCAAACAGGAATTGGACTCTTCATGAATGCGCTACTCTGCTTTCCAAAATAGTCAACGATGGTTGTGCAACTTAATTACTTAAGTTTCTCGCAAAGTCCAGCGATCCTTTTCATAGCAAAAAGCCCCGTAATTACGTCGTCATAATCTCTACGGTCGGAGTACCGAAGACTTGGATAGCCTCCTTTGCTTTGTTGTTTAAGTTGTTGCAAATGTGATTCATCCGTCTAGATTCCTCTGACTGTGAGTATGTGCTTTGATCCCTGGCAAGTGTTTCGAGCAGGTGTAGAAATGGCTTTACGAGATGAAGATCCGAATGCGCTTCTGGCGACGTAGGGTTCCAGGTGATGTTGTAAAGTATGCTACTAGCTGCGGCGAAAAAGGCATGAAGAAGCATCCTGTCATGAGTTAGAAAAAAGACTTAGAACCTGTTTGTTTTTTTGGCGGCTAGTTACCAGACACAAGCGCAATCTCCATGAGGTATCACTCCGAGGAGACGGATTGCTTTGCGTAACTCAGCAAGGCATTCACTTCCTGACGGCAGTAATGGCTCTGTCTGACTTGATTCTTGATCGGAGAAAGGTCGTGTTGTAGGGGGTAAATGGCGATCAATCATCGTCAAGCAGTGAATGTATGTGAGTCGTAGAACGACCTTGTGTATCATCTCGTCTGAAAGTTTGCATCCCGATAATATTTCGGACTCCTCTGGTAGTTCCGGCTGTGCAATAGACTTCCAGTACGACAATGCAGAAAACAATTCTTGTGCCGCGATCGCTCTTTGTAGCTCCGATTGTCGCCTCGCCTGGATTGAATACAGCTGTTTGTACACTTGCCCCTGAATAACTGCAAGTCCTATGCGATAGTTGAGTAGGTTCACGGCACAGGACTCAATCGCATGGTCTGAAATCGCAAAACGCTTTTTTGAAGGTAGTTGGACATCCATGTCGTCGTCATCTTGACTAAAGGGTCGCTTTAAGCGTAGACTAATATCCTTGTCAAGAATGTAGGCTATCCAGAAGACCCGTCTTCGTTGTTCAGCTTGTGATGTCGTAAGGCTTGAATTGGAACACTCTCTGTGCATGTTCATATTCTGTGCCAATCGTAGGGCGGCAGCCGTTAGCACTGAGGATGGTTCTGGATTTGGTGTCCCTTGAAGGATGCTAGCCATTCCTACCAGAGCCTGGACAGCAGAAAGACTACGGTAAGAAAAGCTCAGGTCGGGAACAACAGATAGCGCGTTTTGGAAGTAACCACCAGCTTGAGTATTCGCATGTGTTGGGTCATGTGTACGTACAGCTCGGAGACGATAAGCCAATGATAACACAACATTTATACACGCCCACCAGCCAGGATCACCAGGATTGGAAGTTTCGTATTTGACTTGGAACTCTAGTAGAAAGTCTTCCTCATCAAAGATGGGGAGGAACTTATTATAGCTGGTGAACGTTTCCTTCACCAACTCAAGAGCGGCTGCCTTCGTGGGAAGCTGCTGAGCAACTGGCAGAGAAATTGATCCTAGGTCTGGAGTGGTATACCGACGGAGACTACGAGCCAAATGATCTTTTGTACTCTCGAGTCTGGTCAAATCGCTTTCTCCGTGGTTATGTGTTTGAAGAGCGATCGTGAGGTCATCAGTATTGCTCGTTTCCTGGATAGATGACAATGGTGACGGCGTTGTTAGTATCCATGAATTACTTTCAGTGTAAGGTCCTCTCAGCGCCTCTTCATAAGGTGATGGCCTATATATCGCTTGCTCTTCAGACGAACTGTCGGTGCCAGGCACAGTCAACTTCCTCGACCACTTGTCTCCTAAAAGCCCTTCCATTTTCGAAAGTCTTTCCTCAAGCTGTCCAATATATCTGAACCTATTGGACGGTAGAATCAGGCGGTTAGTAAAGGCATGAATCTCAACCGGAGTAGGAGCTAACCCAGGTGGTCTTCGAGGTTTCCTCCTCGTTACGGTCGGCGTAAACTGGCAACTTATGCCATATTTGGTGCACTGAGCGCACCCTTGTGCGGTCGGTTCACAGCGGATCTTTTTCTTTCGACACGTGTCACAAGCCTTGTCAAATCGTGTCAGAAGAAGCAAACATTAGATCCTCGAATCGACTCACACGTATAATGACTTGCCGCCGCTGCTCCAGAGCACTGGGCTGGAATCCAACATCCGTATTTGGCTCCATAGCCTGCTGCTTGATATTATCGTAGACTGACAATATTTGCAATATATTTGCAGTGAAAGCCAGTTTTCTTTGGTTTCCTACTTCATCAAAGGCGGGTCACAAGGGCCCGATCAGCTCGCTGCGGGATCACATGATTAAAGGAACGAATATTACAAATCAAATCTCTTAGTCACTGTGATGCTCAAGGACAAGACTAGCTGTATATAACGAAAGTTTTATAACATTTCGAATAATTATAGCAGATTTATAGTTCTTATAAACGCTTAGGACACTGGTATAATCATAGTGATCATCGAATAAATCCTGTGACACTGTTGATGGACGGTTCAAATAGTCAGAGAAGCCGCCTTCTTCTTTCTGGCTATATCCCGCATTTTCTATTTGATGCGACGCATTGCGGTGCGTCGTATTCTATCAAACGTTCACCACGCCTTCCCTTCGTTTTAGCCAAGATCTCGCTCCTGTTAAATGTTCATCAAGCCTCTTTCTGCGGTATGAAAAAGGGCTCATATGATCGTTCATTGGGCTTTCTGTCAAGCGCCCAGCTAGAAGAAGCTTGAGTGAATACGCCTGTCAACAAAGATTACAGGCGCTGGCCGGCAACGATTCAGCCGCCATGGCTCTGCTGCTCTGGGAGCGATGCGTAACCCAAAAGTCCGAGCATGAGCTAGGTCCAGTGCTGAAGCAGGATTAGTGGGCGAGGCAGTGCTAGTGAGCCTTGCTGCCTGGCAGTTCCGCTTGTTTTTAAAAAGCATCTCACCTACACCCATCGAAGTAAAGCCAAGCATTTCTTCCCATCTCCTTAGCACTACACTAATCAATTCGCAACACCAATTGCACATCGAGAAGAACACGAGACTACGAAAACGAGACTACGAGAACAATGGTAAGAGTTAAGAAAAGGAATCCCTTATTTTCACATCTTGCATCAATTGTCTAATTGGCGAAAAACCTCGTAGGAAGCCGACAAGAAGCCGCAAGATGGAACGAGCTCAGATACAGCAGTTTTCAAACCCGGTAACGCTGTCGGGCTAATCATGTTCAAGATCTTGACCGGTGTCTGCGTCAACGCCTTCCTCTGGGCCGGATGCCGAGAGATACACTCTTCCTGGGTCGTTTTTTTCATCCTCATGATCAACTCCATTTCGGTCTTGCTACCCATCTATCGCCAGCTGTGGACCTCATCGGGCACCCCACAAGCACAGAGGTGGCGATACTCGCGCGAAGATGCTGTTGATTTTCTTATCTATCACTTTTTGATGATGAGTTCAGCCTTCGTTTTCACGTGGGTCACATACCAGCCTGGCCAAATCCCCTGGTCTTCCATCAGCCTTTTGCTGAGCTTCATTGGAACCCTCATGTCCTTCCTGGCCCATAAGACGCCTAAGCCAGAAGGCCTCCCAGTGGCAGAGGAGCCTAAGAGAGGTTAATCACAACAGGGAACTCAAATTGAGTATAATGCTTGTAAATAGTATTTCATTATATTAGCACCTCATCCGTCATGTAACAAATTCAGACGCAGCCTGGATATCATTCTACCGTCCAATAACGCCAAGTATACAGTCATTCCATCTCAAGAAGTTGCTACCGCCGCCGCCGCAGCCTTTTCACTTGCCTTCTTCTCCTTCCGCTTCTGATTCCTCGCCCTCCTCTCCGCCCTCCACTGCATGCCGTACTTCGTTGAAATCCAGAGAATAGGAGAGAACACGAGGGCTAGCAGTGGGAAGAACGTGAAAGTCCAGCCTCTACCCATACCCTTGATCATACTCTCCACAACAGACGTCGCCACCGCCCCGAGACAGCAACGGACGAAATTGTTCGCTGCTACAGCCGTGGCAGGCGCCTCAGGGTACAGGTCTACAATGAGCGTATTCAGAATGCCGAACGAGCCGGTCACGCACATGCCAATGATGAACTGCAGGACAAGAGGCGCTGCGATGCTTGGCTCCATTTCCAGGACCCAGCCGTATATGATTGTCGCGACGATACCGAGGGAGATGGTGGGATACACTGTCTGGATGCGCGCCTTCTCGATGGGAAACTTGGACAAGTCATCGCCCCGCTTGAGATTGATGGTGAAGCCGATCTTCCGTGCGGTACGGCGGTAATTCCAGTCGAGGATATATCCTTGGCTGATGGCGGCGATGCAGCATCCGACTCCGTACGGTAGGTAGCAGAGACCAAGCTCAAGGTCATTGTAGTGATAAATCTCGGCAAATTGTGTAGACATCGTGGCGACCATTGTGATGAAGATGAGATATAGTAGAGCGTTATAGAAGAGGATGATTCCAACTTGCTTCTCGCAGATGACAGCAAGAGATCGCAGTGGGTTAGGGAATCTTAGCTTCTGTTTCCGCACCGCACGCTCCCTTTGAGGCTGGTGGCGGAAGCGCATGTAGTCAATGAGGGTCATGTTCCACCCTTGAGGAGGGATAGAGCCATTGCCCACGACATTCCGGCAAGTCTCTGGTACGGAGAGTGTGTATGGAATTATCCATATGACGGTGAATATGGCGCAAAACCAGAATATGGCTCTCCAGCCAAGGTATTCTGAGAGTATTCCACCGAGGACAGGACTCAATGCCGGACCAATGTTGATGCCAGCTCCTACAATGCCCATGTATTTGCCACGTTCTCCACTGGTGGACACATCGGCCACAACAGCGTAACCAAGGGCGAGAGTCCCGCTACTGCCACCACTTTGAAGACACCGTAACACCATAAGGGCAGGATAGCTAGTCTGCAAAGCCAGCCCAATGTTGGCAACGATGTAGATGGTAAACGCTATGATGAACGCGGGACGCCTTCCGGCCAAATCACCCAGGTCACCGAAGATTGTTGGCGCGATGGCTTGGAAGATCTGGTATGTAGTAAGGGTTAAGTTGATAAGAGACGTCGAAACACCAAGGTCCCTGGAGATTGGAACCAGAGCTGGGAAGTAGATGTTGGCCGTCATGGGAGAGACGAAGCTCGAAAAGGCTACCATCGCGATGATCCATCGCCTCATGCCTCTCGAGAAGACGCTGTATGCTGGCCCGCTTGACACTCTCGCCAGGCTTTCCGGGTCAGTACTGCTCGGCTGAGAATTCGAGCTGGATGGCTCATCTTCCAAGTCTTCTTGGGTAGTATCTGCACACAGAACCCCATTTAGGTCCTTGTCGTCCGGCAGAGCACTTGGATGAGGCTCGGCAGATACGCCAGCGCTAGCATCTGGCGTCGAGGAGACATGACTGAGTGGTTGGGACATGAGGAAAGAGTTCACGTGCGGCTCATTGAAGCGAGAAAGGAGAAGTGACCCCTTTCAAGGCTTATGAATGATCCAGGATACGGAATGACAGAATGGCTGGACGTACGCCTTCCAAGAAATGCAATAGTTACAGAAGCCATTGACCCTCCAAAAACAGCGCTTGCAATGTTTTTAAAGAAGATGTCATTGGAACGTTAGGTGCGAGCTACGGAGAGTAGCCCCTGCAAATTCTGAGTTATTCCCGTTGCGGTGGGCGTTTTATCCAGGACCCATCCGTTGCGATTCGGCACCGAAAACCGGTGAACGGCTTCACACGCACTGGGAAACATTAGCATTCGACAAATGAGGCATCTCCTAAAGACAAGCTCAAACTCATGCATTAGTTATCTCTTCAGCCCAATCAAGCTTCTGGAATTGACGACAAGCAAGGCCTGCGATCGGTCCTCGCCTGCGGTATCGGCTGCCGGTTGCTCAGGGGGCTAAAACGGCATCGGCGCGCCGGTATAGCATGGCGTAGCCTCCAATGATGGGGCCGGCAAATCCGATACTGCCTGGAGATCCACTTTTCCCCTGCCAAATGGCATCCACCTCTTCCCACCTGTCCTTGAGAGCTGACTGTCATGTGGCTGTGTAAGTCATTGTAGTTGCAATGGACAAGGAGTTTTGCTTTCAATTATGAGAACTTTGTTTGAGCTAGGTCTTTTATTCAAGTTGACTTTCAGAGTAGCCTGCCTCTAGCCCAGCCATGCGAGTACATAATATTGCCGGATGGCCTCCTTATAATTTTGAATAATAGACACAATAGACAGTTGGTAAACCATGACCATATTAGCTGGCTTAATAGCTCCAAGGAGCTTCTTACTTGAAATAGCGTATTACCTCAGATTGAATACAAAGAGTAAACTGTTCTGAAGAATATGAACCTGTTTTTACCCTCTGCCTGTTGCATCTCTAGGTGCCTTTGGCGAGATAAGCGAAAGCCAGTTATAAGCCAGTTGTCCTACCAACAGTCATGTTGGTTTTCAATCTCTGCTGTCGCCTACAATCATTCCATTTCTCTGGCATGATTACTTCTAAGGAGGATCCATTGAGCCACTCGGCATGGAGAAGCTATAGATATACTGTGCTGCAACCAGGCTCTGGTCAGCTAGAGGTCACGACCCTGCAACACTTGGAAGGAAGTCGAATAGCGAAGCTCTCTTCGGCGAGCTTCTCCGTCATTTCTAGCACGAAGCGGAGAACACCTTAAGCTCTACGATAGCACTGATAACAGATGAAGGCCTATGATATCATGATCTTGTCAATAGAAAGTAGAAGTGCTTGCTAGCTCAGGGTACGTACGAGCCTTCTTTGCTGATGTCCGCTTACCCACTGCATGTAGATTATCTTTTATTTTCATTGGGTAAATTTCGGCGCCACAGATGAGCCTGAATGCAAGCCACAAACCGCCCTCTGTCCCTGTAGCTTTAGCCACAATCCGGCTGGTCCGTGCGCTCAATGCTGCCATGTCCAAACTGTCTTTATTGCTCCAGCCAAATGCCAGCAGGTTTAAGCCTGGCAGCATCGAGGCATAGGAAGAAAATGACGAGCGCCGGTCCAGAGGCATCATTTCGATGACCCGGTAGCTTTCCAATCCCGCAGCATACCGTGATTCGATCATTACGGCGCCCGAGTCCACCATGTCGGACCTGACCGAGGAGTTTGACCTGCTCCTGAAGCAGCGCGAAGCTCCCCCGACCAGGAAGAGCTTCAGCGTTGATCAGATCGAAGAGTTCCTAAAGAAAGCATACACGATTGTTAGTTCCTGGAGCTTCCCGAGTCGCACCCTCGAGACGGATTCAGTCCGGGCCGATCTTCAAGATCGACTTAGCTAACTGACAAATGCTGCCCTAGAATGAAAACATCACCGACCTCCACACCAAGCTCTCCTCCATACGGCAAGCCTACCTTTCCACCGCCGCGCCTCGCAAGACACAGCTCGCCCGCAAAGGGCAGCCAGCCCCCACGCAGCCGACGCACCTCACCGACCGCGAGCGGGAAGAGATCGACGCACAGGCGAAGATCGTGCTGCGCGAGCTCAATGCCTCGATCCACGTCCTCACAGCCGAGGAGTCGCGGCGGCAGGCGACCGCCGCCGCCGTGTTGAAGCAGAAGTACGGGCGAGGCATCGGCGCCGCGCTGGGCGGCTGGGCGGCTGGCGGGCTTGGCGGCACGGGCAAGAGCGCAGAGTACCAGGTGGCCGAGGAGGGCGAGAAGCAGGTCTCGGCGCACCGGGAGAGTGTTATGTGGTTCTTGCGCCAGCGACTGCAGACGGTGGTCACGCTGCAGCAGGGGATGATGGAGACGCGGCTCACGAGGGAGATGGAGAAGAATAGGAGCGTGTTGGCGAAGACGAGGCCGCAGGGTCTGCCGGTGGGCTTTGAAGACTTCCCCGATGGAGGTATGGCAACATCACCGCAAAGTGATAGGAGGACCAGCGGCGGTGCCTGGCAGCAGTCGCGTGGGGCGGCGTTGGAAGAGGAGGACAACCAGAGACGGGCAGGGGATGATCTCACGGACGAGCAGCGGCAGATGTTTGAGCAGGACAATAGGGACATGCTGAAGCACTACCAGACTACGCTGGACAAAGTCAGGTAGGTTGGGATATCAAGTAACTCTACCTTGGTCGATAAAGCTAATGACAATTTGCAGGACGGCAGAGAAATCTCTCCTGGAAATCTCAGAGCTACAGGGAATGCTGGTCAACAATCTTGCCATGCAGTCGGCACACATCGATCAGCTCGTGGCGGATTCTCTCAATACGACGGAGAACGTGGGAGGCGGAAACAAGCAGCTGAAGAAGGCGACGGAACGGTCACGACCGGCGCAATGGACATTCTATGCGGCCAGCGGATTATGCGCAACCCTCATCATATGGGATCTTATATTCTAGTGCTAGGATATAGGGCTAGAGTTAATACAAGCAGCCTTGACAAGCGCGGCTTCCATCATCAGTTTTGAATCGACTTGATGCGACGGACTTACAGCGTCCTTGTGCTCTCACGAATGGACTGGTGCGTCTCGCTGGGGCTGCCGCCACGTGCCTGCTGCAGTGAGGCTATCGGCACTGCTGTGATGTTTCTTTTTTAGGCTCAATCAATCGAAAGTGCTATTTATCTACGATTAACTGCCCAAGATGGCTATACCAGCTATCTATCAACATGCTCGATAGTCAAGCGACCGTTTCTTGTGACGGGCCTGAACTGCTCGATTGGTGTGTTTAGGCGATTGTCGCACCGGACCCGACTCTTGCAAATGCCTCGGCCAAAGCTGGTCGGGGAGGCCCGCAGGGGTTCTGTCGGCCAGCGGCAACTGGCTGAAGTGCCTCCTCATTCACATGCAGCTGGAGCAGCCACCCCGTAATTCGGGCTGGCACGGGCCTGTGCAGCAAGCCCGGCAATGACATAACATTGGGACACCACCCTCATACATAAGACAGACACCTACCTACCTTAGTAGTGACTTGTAGTAAGATTCAAGCCCTTTTCGAATATTGACAGTCATAGACTTGCTCCCGGAGAGTTGTTGTTCTGTTTGTTGTCACATTGCCCAGCCTCTCTTCATACACTACGGACACACTGTCCGAGAACACCCGCACCATCAGTCTCAGGGCGCATTCTGTTGCATAACAATCGTCCTACCGCCGGGCCAGAGGAGTAATTCAGGCGCTCTCATTCGCTGCGACCGCTGAGCCTTCCCCGAATTCTGGGGAGTCATAGGTGCGGATCACACGGTGGCTGCGCTGGGGAAAGCCTGATTGACAGTGGGCGGAGGAGACCCGACCTCGACGCTAACAGCTACACCAGCACCACTTGCAGCAGCTTGGCTAAGGTAGAGGGGTCACACAGTCGCGGGGCAGCAACAGCAAGCAGCTTGCTTAAAATGGCGTCCTCCAAGCCTCAAACCACCTCACCTTCACCATCCTCCTCCTCCTCCTCCGCATCCGCAACCGCGAGAATACGGAACATCGCAAACCACATGGCGTCCCCCGTAGCACCCACGAGCTTCCCGGCCGAGGCCGTGCCCCAGGCCCCCGAAGACCCTCTCTTTGGGCTGATGCGCGCCTACAGGGCAGACGAGAGCCCGGATAAAGTTGACCTGGTATGTTGGATGTTTGCTGTGGACACAGCTCGACTCACTGGATCATGGGAGCTGACTTGCAATTGAGGGTATTGGAGCATACCGCGACAACAATGCAAAGCCTTGGGTTCTCCCCGTAGTAAAGAAGGTAAGCTGGGCCTCTCTTCTCTTCGTCTTTCTATTTCCCGATCCCCGGTCAATTGCCCCTGTATGAGTGTATGAAGCCATCTCGAGCCCCTCCATGACCCCGCCATCACCAACTGCACACTCTGCTTCAGCCATCTCTCCATACAAAGACAGACAAGCTGACCACGTATCTCTGCGATCCAGGCCGACGACATCATCCGCAACGATCCCAATCTGAATCACGAATATGCTCCCATCGCCGGTATTCCCGCCTTCACAAGCAAGGCCTGCGAGCTCATCATCGGCAGCTCCTCTCCCGCCCTGGCCGAGAAGCGGGTGACATCTGTTCAGACCATCTCCGGCACGGGCGCCGTCCATCTCGGCGCTCTCTTCCTGGCCAAGTTCTACAAGGGCAACAGAACCATCTACCTCTCGAACCCGACATGGGCCAACCACAACCAGATCTTCACCAACGTGGGCCTGCCCATTGCGCAATACCCGTACTTTGACAAGAAGACCAAGGGGCTGGACTTTGAGGGCATGAAGAAGGCCATCAACGACGCCCCCGAGCGAAGCGTCATCCTCCTTCACGCCTGTGCACACAACCCAACCGGCGTTGACCCTACGTTCGAGCAGTGGAAGGAGATCGCAGCCGTGATGCGCGCCAAGAAGCACTTCCCCTTCTTCGACTGCGCCTACCAGGGCTTTGCCTCAGGCGACCTGGACCGCGACGCCGGCGCCCTGCAGTACTTCATCGAGCAGGGCTTCGAGCTGCTCGTGTGCCAGTCCTTCGCCAAGAACTTCGGCCTGTACGGCGAGCGCGCGGGCTGCTTCCACTTCGTGACGGCGCCCGCGCCCGACGCCCAGGAGACCATCTCGCGCATCGCCTCGCAGCTGGCCATCCTGCAGCGCTCCGAGATCTCGAACCCGCCCATCTACGGCGCGCGCGTCGTGGCCGCCGTGCTCAACGACGACGCGCTCATGGCCGAGTGGAAGGAGAACCTGCAGACCATGTCCGGCCGCATCATCGACATGCGCAAGACGCTGCGCGCCAAGCTCGAGGAGCTCGGCACCCCGGGCTCGTGGAACCACATCACCGACCAGATCGGCATGTTTAGCTTCACGGGCCTGAGCGAAGCGCAGGTCCTGGCGCTGCGCGAGCAGTTCCACGTCTACATGACTAAGAACGGTCGTATCAGCATGGCGGGTCTGAATACACGGAATGTGGAATACTTCGCCAAAGCTGTGGATAAGATCGTGCGGGAGGTGAAATAGAGAGATGTACGGAGCTTGAAGAATAATGAGTGTGGTATTGGATGGGATGTTAGGATTGGTCTAAGTGAAGGGACAGCATCACTCCTCATCATATGTCGCATCGCATCGGCTGGTCAAGTTGAGATGTATAAAAAAGTTTGAAGACTTGCTTTAGAGACATGTCACCTTGTCATAAATAAGCTATCTGACAAAAGGAAGATCTTCCCCGCAGAATAGTCATCTGAGTGGTATATATGCTACGTGACACACCTAGTTGTCTTGCACATATAGGTGAAATACTGACGATACGGTTTTCGATGATAAGATGAACGCTCCCATGTATTGCAATATCCAAGAGATTTCAATGTGTGAGAACGTTGCTGATTTATACTTCTATTGATGAGATTTCGAAGTCTCTACTCCGCGATTCCCATGTACTGGGGATAGTGATCTCTCTGCGATCCTTCCATTTCTTTCAAAGCTACTTGTTTCTCTTCAAGTCAACATATCCGTAGCCATGCTCAGCTACGTGCTCTTGTATCAGCCTAGCTATTCCTCCATGGCCTCGCTCTTTAGCCCGTTGTATTGCTTCCTCATACTCAGACTCTTGGCTAATTGCTCCCTTATTTAGAAGCATCTTCGTAATGTCTGATTTTCTTAAATCCACAGCTAAACGGAGAGGAGTTCGGAAGGGAGGTCCGCCAGGAATATCCTTCACTCTTGCACCATGCTCTAAGAGTAGCCACACAACCCTCGCGTTACCATCTTCTATAGCAGCTAGGAGGGGTTCAGATACACGCTGTTCGCAGCCATCCACGACTGCACCTTCCTCCAAAAGGTATTCGACAATGTCATGGGAAGGTTCGTACCTGCATGCAAGTCCTAGAGCTGTTAATCCTGAGCTAACTGCATTCACATCAGCGCCTTGTTCAACCAAGAATTTTACCTTGTCGAGCCTTCCGCTTGACCAGTCTGCTAAACATGCTTGTTGTAAAGCTGTGAACCTTTGTATTGAAGACGGCTTTGCATTTACGTCTACGCCGAGCTGCACAAATTTCTCGACGATTTTGAGGCTACACTCGCATGCAGCGACTTGTAGTAAAATGGCAGGCAGCTGCCTGGGATGGTCGAATTCGTATGCGGCGAAGACTTCTATGGCTCCCAGAATGACGTGTTCGTCACAGATTGCATACATAAGCCCGATTAGAACGTCGCTGGTCACCCGGCCCCCCCTTTTGAGAAAGAAATTGTACTTGTCTTCCGCTCTTGCTGATACTGAATTCCTTTTCTCAAAACAGTAAGGCATGTTTCTAGTACGGCTTGTCAAGGACAGGCCAAAATCCACGCTAGGAAGAACGAGCGCGAGGTCTAGTCCGTTTTCTTCTAGGATCTCGCACTTTTGTACGGTCAAGTCGTCCTGTGGATAAAACTGTATGCCATAGGCTTCTAGCATACCTCTTGTGATTCTGAATGAAAGGATAGCGGCCAAAACTGATTGAAGTCGTTCAGTTGGCACTGGCTGATCTTGCGATGGTCTGGCGAGGTCGAGAAGAAAATGTACCATCTTGGTCACTTCTTTAACGCCAAAGCTTCGAGGACCGTTCGAAACATCCAGCATAGAAATCGCCGATCCAAGAATCGTGAAGGCAGCCTCATGGGTTTGACTGTCTTGCCAAAGATAAACTTGATTCGGATCAAACGAAGAGTTTAGGAAGAGACGCAGTGCTTCATAATTATAACTCCGAGCTGCCGATAGAAAAGCCATAGTAGCGCACAAATGATGACAATGATGATGATGATCTCGGAGAATAGTTCGGATGAGTGCAATCAGAGCCCCGGGGGTTGGCCCCTGAGCGAAAACTCTGCTGTCTACTATGGCGCCATGACGAATCAAACTCGTGACAAGTTTATCTTCGAATTGAGGATCTTTAATATCTTTATTTCTAGCCTCCGGAAAAGTCCGCCAAAAAAGGGGCTTATCATGCATAAATCGATGAAAGTTGGGATTTGCACCAGCAATCAAAACTGCCTCGATTGCCTCAACGGTAATCATTCCATTTCTACCTTTCTCAATCAGCGCTAAAAGTAGTGACTGAAGAAAAGACTGGCGGAAATCTTGGCCGAGAAACTTGAAAGATCTGATGTAGGTTAAGAAGTCAGTCGTATGCCCATTTTGGAGGGCATTCAAGGCGCCCACTATTGTAGGGCAATCTTCTTTCAAGTTAGATACTCCACGAACATATCGTAAAGCCAGTGATAGTATTTCGCGACTTGTTGCAGCACTCGGACTCTTGTCATATAGTCCCATGTGCAGCTTCCATTGCAGATCAAGATATTAATGAATCGGTAATGTAATTCTCGGTATCTCGGATTAATAACATCAATATCGTTGTTGAAATGGCAATGGCTGTGATCTCCAGTCTCCATTCCTTTGCAAGAGTCGAAATGGAATAACGACGCAACATATTGGCTTATGGTATGGTCATAGTTGTCGTGCATTGGCCTTGCGTGAAGGACACCGTATCGAATATTTTCGTTTGGGTTGTATCCTATATGATTTCTTGACCAGAAATAGCCACGGTCATGGCTTTCAAAAGAATCGGTCATCTCGAGCAAGTCCTGACACACCTTGAAACCATTATGGCATTGGAGGTGCCTGCTCACTAAATCGTCCCAACCCAGCAATATGGCGGGCTTGTAGGCGGAAACAGATAAAGTATCGGAGTCTAAAAATGGTATTCTCGCGCCCAACTCCAAAAGAAGGCGGAAGAACTTTTTGTGGCGTACCCTAAGGGACATATGAACCAGCTTTGACCACGCCATTATTGTTATTGGATGGTCGATCATCAAAAAATTGAACAGAAGAGATGATCGATCGGCGTCAAGAATAGCATCGATAATCTTGAGAATGTCTTGTGTCAAGTGTACTCGTAGAGTGTTATTAGCGAGCTGATACATTAGCTGAATTAAGAATCGCATATTTTCCATTGGCGATGTAGCTTGCTGAGAGACTATGCTTTTGTTTAATCCAACTAGATAGCTCAGAATCGGCGTGTCAATAAGATGGTCATAAGAAAATCGAATTCTAGGTTGGTTGTTTGATCTTGATAATCTGATGAATGAGTCTTTCGTGAACGACTGTCCTCCATTCGGGTTAGATATATGACCAGTCAAGTATGTGCTCAGGATGCTGAACTGGTTGGATGACGAGAGCGAGGAAACTCCATCTTTTCCAAATACTGTAACTTGGCGTTAGATAGTTCGTGGCCATAGACGACTTAGAGCTCTAACCTAGATTTGATAATAGAACCTCAAATTGACCCCAAGGCAAGTGAGCACTCTCGAGGGCTTGGTCCAGTTGCAGACGTGCTTGTTTAGAAATCACTTCTACTGTCAGTCTCAAAAGCCAAAGATCATCGCCAAAGAACATTATACTCACTCCACAGCGACATGGTGTCTTCAAGTTCCTTGAATTCTGATGTGTCGGGATAGCGAATATCGTGGCTGGCTACCGAGATTGTCCTCTGCGGAAATGGGGAAGGTGTTCGTACGATTGCTCTACCGCGAGAGACCTTTTCTAGAAGCCCCCAACAAATCACGTTAGCAAGGCTTGCGTATGATATTCTAGGTCATTAACCATGTACCAGGCATAATACGAGGTCGAGCCAAGGTTGGTGCCCGCCTTATTTCTTTCGATACCTTAGACCACGGTATTAAGACATTTTCAATGTACACTCCTGTTCTCTTGTCCGACCCGCGGGTTCTGAGCTGCTGTTTGATATAAATCCAGTCGGCTCTTTTGAGCCTTTTTCGCAGATCAAGTCTGCCGAGCCGCTTTGTGAATTCTTTCGGCCTGCAAGGATAACATTAGCCACAGATTCTAAAAATCTTAGGACTGCATGTCTGTTATGCCTAGGACGCAGTACTGACTTGAACTTAGGGAAGCTATAGTGCATCTCCAAGATTTCTTGAACTGCCTTTGCTGTCCTTCCCTCGTCAATATATAACCTCTTAATTGTCTCGAAGTGTTCCTCGAAGGCCTCCATGTTGAAAAAGTCATTGAAAAGAATTTGGAAACAAGAAGTCAGTGAAAAAGTCATGAATGTAGGTAGGAAGAAGATAGGCCGATTATATAGATAGTTTGCCAAAGAAGTAGACAACTTCCATGCCGAGAATGAGGCTATGGACATCTGCATGTGAGACATATACTGCCACATCATCAATCCAAAATCCCTTCCAAGCGATTGGCTATTTGAAGCTCCTTGCCGTTAGGCATTAACATGGCTGGTTGACCAAAATCCCCTGTTTCTTATTCGCAGACCATGATGCTTGATAGGTTGCACAACATCAAGCCACACTTGCTCGACAATGTGGACGGAATCCCTTGTATATAATTGGCCATTATTTGGATAGCTCCTCTCCGGGTTTCGAGGCAGTGCTAGATACTTGAAAAATACTTTTGGCTGGGGTTCTTGCCTCATTTTGATATAAATGAACAGAACCATGTCTCTCTTGTGGTTAGCAACCCCGTCTTGCAGCCATATTGCTCTTGTGTTGAAAACATCGCTTGGCAGTCACGCTCTCGGCATGGGGCTCTCAGGGGAACTTATCGTAGCAATCTTGGCGCTTTTAATGATGTGCATACCTGCAATTCGAATTACAGCCAACTATATCCGCAAGTGGCGAACACATAGCTTGAGGTCACCAACAGAACGTGGGTGCGAGGGTGAGTGTTATTTAGGAGAGTAGACCAAAAGTGAGGAAATGAACTGAGTCACAGAAACAGGCAATTACAGACTACCACTGACATGCCAAGATGTGCTTGTTGAGGCAGAAACCCAAAGGGGGCCCTTCAGAGAACCAGGGCTTCTTTTAATGGTAGGTAATATCGTCCATGACACTTCCTTTTTGGCTCGAGAGTGCGGAGACTAATACACAATGCATCGTTGATAGATCAGAAGGGAAAGCTTAGATCGTTATCTCATTACCCAGGAAACGATCACCTCTCCCATCCGGTCCTTGTTTCAAAGTCAGCCGTGACAAGACAATCGCAGCCCACCAAGACCACTGAAGGCTCGAACAGCGATAATATAGAGAGCAGGTTGTTGTGCCAAAAGTCAGAAAAGACACCACGACCCCAGATTCGGGGTGCAAGTCGAATATGGTGGGGAAGTGTTAGGTAGTGCTAAATCAAAGCTAAACCCCGCAATGGTTTGGTGGTTCTGATCATAAAGTTGAGATAAGATAGAAGGCGTAATGGGAACGTCTTTAGCACCCCCTGGAGAGTGAAATGAAGTGAATTGCAATAGGCGTGCGGGGTGAGGTGACATTGTAGGATCTTGAAGCTAGCTGAGATGGGGAAGTACCTGGCGCGTCCATCAGCGTGCAAATACGATGTAAGCATGTTTCCTACCATATTTCAATATGATGCAATCCTCCACGTAGAGCAGCCGCGCGGCTCAAATATTAACCCACAACCCTGTGAAGGGCTGTAAATTTATATATTCGGAGCAACCATCTTGAATAATAATCAAAGCTCACGAATCTACTGGCGCGATCTTTGAGGTGGGCAGTTGCAGCCACTCGTGACCATGCATGACCTATCATCCATTATCACGCCTGAGCTTTTAAAAAGGATGGTGGACGGCCGCTTCCCATGGCCGAGAACAGAGCCCGTCAGCCATCGTTCCATGCTGGAGGAGTTCTTCGGTACAGACGAGAACTTCACGAAAGCAGCAAGGGTGGCATGGCCAGCGCTCAAAGCGCTAAGCAACATCGGCCCAGACGTCATCCCCGACCTCACCAAAGTCCTTCCTCCACCAGACGACAAGGCGTACCCCGAGCAGGCGATAGGCTTGCATGTTCTAATAGACCAGGCGCCGCGCGTTCTGTTTCACGGTATCGACGCGCGATGGGTATCATATTTTGACAAGGTCGTCGAGGAGCTTTTCGACACTCAGTCCAAGTTGCCGAAGAAATTACAGCCCTGGCAGCCGGAGCGATGGTCGGACGCGTCGTTCGAATACTGGGTGATAGTGCACTCGACCTGGAACTCGGCACTGACGCATCGTGAATCCGTCGCCAAGCAGCAAGAGGCACTCCAGATGGGCGAAGACAACCGCGTGGCGATCGAGAAGTGGTCAGGTAAGAAAGACCCGGCGCGTGGAGATGATAGCATCAGGAAGGACATTTATGCCTTTCCAAAGCTTGTGACTGTGATTGACTTTCATGATTTTGACACGTTTGAGGACGTTGGCTTTTTCATGTGCAAGGTCACGGATGTACATAAACCTGTCATTGATCATTTCGGGCGCTATCCTTACCGCAATGCTATCGAGGGGAGGAATAGTACCGATGAGGAAAAGATCTGGATAGAAAAGGTTGACCACTTTGCTGAAGCGCCACCAGATGTGGCGAAGAGGGTAAGGGAAGATATTGATGCTGGTAAATGGACTGCACTCGGGGAAGGCGGATCATCTTTTATGACAGGTCTGCATATTAATATACATACAAGCTAAAGAGATGAGAGCGTACGATTACCGTCGCTACCTTACTCCAGTATCTTAGCTTGATGGTTACAACATTCTCAAATAAGAGTGACCGGTCCCATTTGATCAAGAAGCTCTGGAGTCGCAAGCTCTCCGTACATTATCCCATGGACATACGTCTCTCCCACAGCGCGGTAGCCACTATTGTCTGCTGTTTTCCTCAAAATGAAAGGAGTTCTCCCTCCTTCCAGCAACCAGACCTCATCACTGGCATTTAAACAGCGATGTCCAATTCCAAACCGTCCGTCATTTGTGCGGAAAAATCTCCTGCAGAACCATAGTCTGTGCCTTACAGTGTCCAGAGCAGCAACTTGTGGGCCATCATTTCTTTCGTCAATCATAGCATCAAAGACTTGTGCTAAAGTTGGGAACCACTCTCTGCCTGTGCTGAGTTGTTCTAGGAAACTAATCAAATTCGAGCTGCTTCCGATCAGATCTTCTTCAAGGCTTCTGATTTTATTCACAAGATGCTTCGACCACCATTTCCGAAACGTCTCGGCATAAGCAAGCTTGTTAATTCTGGTAGGTATGATATTTGCAAAGAGCGTGCGGCAGAGAGCTTCGTCGGGGGCGTCATTTGTCTGAGCGTATTGTCCTTGATATGTAAGAAGTGCGTTGAGGAACCATTCAAAGTTAACATGGGTGCTGTCTTGGGATAGCAGAACTGGTCCCTGTTCGATTACAGCTGACAACCGAACTCCTCGTAAAGTGAGCGCTTTACTTTCCGTCAGGCTAAACGCCGATGTTGGACTTCGTCTTTTCGAAGCATCGAATGGTGCTGTTCCACTAAAAGCTGTTTGAATGGACATGAATCTCGTGGGCAGTGGCTTGGAGGAGAAATCGGGTACCCAAGATGGTAGGTTGTGGAAAGACCTTGAGCTGCTATCTTCAATAGTGTTAAGAAGATCTAGGTACGGAGTATTGCTTAGTATTGCCGACACTGCCTCCTTGTAGACCTCGACCTCGGGTGTATGATAGTTTGGAGCCATGATAGGATTGAAAGCACCCGGTTTTAAAACACAAGACACTAGACCGAAGCAACCATATATGGCATCTCTCCTGTCAGTGAATTCGCGTCCCCGCATCGTATGTATAGTTTCGGCCAGTACAGCATATGCTCGTTCTGTGTCCGTCATGGACCCAAATCTTCGTCTGAGCGAACTTGACTCCTGGCCATGATATCCATCTTGAATGCGTGTTTGAATAATTCCTAGGGAGTTCAATCTCTGAAGGGTGTCCGAGAATTGGAATCCGTATTTCTTGGTCTCTTCATGTGATCGCAGTCGGCGTGTCAGGAGGCGCCTCCAGTCAGTCGTCGTTAGAGCTTCGAGAAACTCAAGTAGCTCGCTCCATAGTACCGACATCGATCCACACAGCGCGACAACATCATCCACATTCTCTAAAGTCCTAAGAATAACTTCTTGTACAACCCACCCGCGAAGAAACCATCGCCGTTGGATTAGAAACACGAAGAAGAATTTAAACGAGGATCTCCAACGGGAACAGATTTCCTCACCAAAGTACTCAGTCAAGGCCGGGTCAGTGCAAGCTGGATCTTTGGACATAAAGTAATGTCGACCTCTTTCTCGGTAGAGAGTTAGAAATCGGGGCATGAATGCTTGGATAACCCACTTGGCCTCGGGATGCGGTTCTTCTTTTCCCAGCCAGACGATGGTTGTCAACGACTGCTGGAAGATGTCTCCCATAAAGGAAACCTGGTGGGACCGTTCTTCCACATCTCGCTGGTTGATGGAAATAGCGTCGATCCAGACATACTGCGGAAAGACTCCATTCTGTGCGGTGGTTTGGTACTCGCTTAGCCTGAACATTTCTGGCAAGAGCTCCTGATCATCATTTTCGGCAATGAATAGACGTTGACGGAATGCGTGATAAAGAAAGTCAAACGCATTTTCGGTAATGGCAAGGTCCTTCCCATCACACTGAACAGTAACTAAAGCGGGCGGCTTGTCGTCTTCGGCGTGCCTCGCCAAGCCAGAAATCGTGGCTGATTTCCATGTGTATGAAAGGGCACAATAAAGAGGCGTATCCCTGAGACTGACGGTGCAAGATGTCAGAGAGAAGCCATGAGGTTGCCTTGGGTCGATCAAGAGTTGGATGAGTCGAATTGCGCGATCGTCAGGCAAGGACTCATACGTGTAACCATCTTGTATGGACAACTGGCTTAGTGATTCCATAACTAGTTTGCACTGGGCTTTGCCTTATATTGTCGACAGAATCAGTGTCTGTTGTCTGGTAGCTGTTTAGCTCGATCCAGTGCCGCCCATCAGCTCGAAAAACCCCCATATTTCCTTGGCATCCCAAGGAATCCCTGCAGCCGCGCTAAGTCCGCCACTTGGATTAACTTGTTCCGAATTTGGCCGATGAAGATTCATCAAGATGCATATCTTCGTTGAGAACTGGTCGTGTAGAGCTGCAAAATCAACATCCGGTGAAAGAAATTCGATATGTTTGTATCTAGCTAGACAATACATCAAATTGAGCTCGAGTCATTAGCCGTGAGGGAAAAGCCTATACAATTTCAGCAATAAATTTGTAGTCATCTGCAAGACTGCAAGGAATCTTCTATAGGCCGTGAAGACGAAGTTCGTGTGAGTTGCGAGAGGTCCTGGAAGAGAAAACCGCTCTTGCGCCTTTTTGTGTCCGTCCTTTTGAGAACACGAACCAATTCAGACCACTCCTGCACTATGAGGCAACCCAGTTACACGTAGTTTACTTCTGAGTTCTGTAGCAACATTTGCAGGAAGTTCTTGATACAACTCGGAGAATTAGCATCGTTGCCACCACGCTGAAACTTAGAGGTGCCAAAGATACGCTGCCCCAGTTCACATTCTGAGTTGGAGGATCTCCTGCCAGTCGCAATACTATAGTGCTGCAATAGAGAGGCACCTGCTTCAGTATTCGCATCGTATATCCTAGATGCATGATCAAATGCTTGGGCTAATGAGGAATACATAGGAATAATGTGCTACTAGTTGCTAGTCGTCTAAGACAGGGAAAACACCTGGGGTGCATCTGTTAGGCACACTAGTCAGCGTAGTCGCATTTCAAGACACTGATCAATTGGTCGACCTATGACATACACAGATCTCACGAGTCCTGTAATTGTATTGGGGCGTCAAAGCATTCTGGATTATCCAGCCAAGGGATGCCGACGCAAGCCTTGACTGGTTCAGCGCTCTACGAGTTGTTCCAGCCACATCTTCACGAGCTCTTCTTCGTTCCACCCCGTAACACCCGTCCATAACAAAAAGAAGCAATTAAAAGGGGCATTATTTATAGAAATTCACAGAAAGGTCTCTCCGATGTCCCAGGTGATGTGTGTTGTGGCCCACCCACTAGTACCGAGCACACGATCGATCTGCTTTTGGTAGTCGGCTGTCCCCACAGGGCCACGAATCATCTCCACTTGGCCCTCACAGCTTCAAGCCCTTGACTCAAGACAGGGCGCCTAGACAGCCGTGGACCCCTGCCAAGAATGCGGCGATACAACTAGCATGTACGTCAGCTCGTCCATATGGCCGCTGCGCCTCTAGTCGTACGAAATTAGGTGTCGCAAACTATTGGTATTAATGGTGCCGGGGGCCCGGCGTCTAAGGGAGACCACGGTATTTCTCATGTCATTCGCTTTTTCACAGGTCAAAACAACAATTTCTTTGTATTTCAAACCCTATTAGGTCAATTCTTTCGTTATGGCGATGTCTTTCGTTCACAAAGCATGTCTTGCTGCTTGTCTTCTCGCCGCTTCTTCGGCTGCGCAAACTTATACTGACTGCAATCCGACGGAGGGTGAGTCATTTATTTCTCGGAAGACATAAACACTACTGTTAGTTGGTGTTTAGAATATGGCTGATATAAATAATATTCACAGCAACATGCGATGCCGACACCGGTCTTGCTTCAACTTCATACAGCGTCGATTTCACCCAGGGATCTGATGACTCGGCGTGGACGGCCGTCTCCGGCTCAGTATCTTACACTTCTTCCGGTGCCGAGTTCACTATCAATGAAAAGGGTGATGCACCAACTATTGAAACATCGTGGTACTTCTTCTTCGGTCGTGCGGAAGTCTTGATGCGTGCTGCTTCGGGAACTGGAATTGTCAGCAGTGTTGTGTTGGAGTCCGATGACCTTGATGAAGTCGATTGGGAATGGATTGGAGGCAGTGCAGACGAGGTTCAGACGAATTACTTTGGCAAGGGAAACACTACGAGCTATGATCGCGGCGGAACCTCAGACGTCTCGGATACTCAAGGCACAACTCACAACTACACTATCGACTGGACCACCGATGCTATCACATGGTATATCGACGGCAGTGCAGTCCGCACTCTGAACTATGCCGATGCTGTGGGTGGGAAGAACTACCCTCAAACCCCAATGCGCTTGAAGTTGGGCATCTGGGCAGGTGGTGATAGTGATAATGCCGAAGGAACCATCGAATGGGCGGGCGGCGAGACTGACTACGATGATGGTCCATTTACAATGACCGTCGAGAGTGTTTCTGTCACAAACGCAAACCCTGCTTCCTCGTATACTTATGGTGACAAGACTGGCGATTGGACTAGCATAGAGTTTGACGCTTCCACTGACGATGATTCATCTAGCAGCGCATCGTCTAGCGTTGTTTCCACCACTAAGGGGACTGCGACTACTCTGACAACGGCGCCTGGAACCAGCACTGCCACCGACAGTGCTTCGGCTTCAACAGAGACGACTACTGCAAGCGATTCCACGGGAACCACGGCGGCAAGTGGAACTTCATCATTATCGTCGTCGTCAGCAAGCCCCAGCTCAACAACCGTTACCACCTCCGCTGGCATATCCGTAATGGAAATGGTCCCAAAGAACATGATCTCGGGACTGGCGTTTGCCGTGATGGCATATGCCTTCTACCTGTAGCAGGTTCAATCTATGGAGGACGAGAGGATCAGATGTGTAGTTGGGCTCTGTTTTAATTTGTCACCATTGACTTGAAACATCATGTACCGATCTTGTTGGTATCTAAATAAGATAGCATAATTGAATAATATTCGGGCTTATCTGGGTTAGGGCTAGAGCCATTTTCAGAGGAGCGAAAAAGTATCAATCACAATACGTGTGTTGAACTTGCCTCGAGATCCACGCGTGTTATGAAGAATACACAGTCTCCGCCCATCACCATCACGCCAACCCCTGCGGTCTGAGGAGGTGTCTTTCAGCCACACCAAATTGTAGCCTCATGTCGCCTTGTCTTTTATGACAAGATCAAGGGAGTAAAAGATGAGCACTTTGATAACAACAAAAATCGAGGAAGGAAAGCTTCATTAGCCCAGAAGCACTGAGAGAGTCAACATTCCCGGGAGACTACGACATGTTTTTAGTCCCGTGTACGGTGACAACAGGCATGAAGTTTAGCTCGCAGGCTAAACGTCAGTTGCTTGGGGGCACGACAAGCGTACTCCTGCGATCGCTTGACGTTATATTGCCGAGCATTATTTATGATGCCGAGATGGTGCCGAGCTAGCCATGCCCAGAATGATATAAATCTTTTGCAATATTTGATTTTTGGTGTGTCATTCTTTCTCCGACTATCCGAGAGGAAGCACGCTTATCTTTGCGTATGATGATCCATCAAAACACGGCCTGAGACCCACATAAGGCTTCCATGGAAAGTCAGAAGACGTTCTACGAGCTCTAAAATCAATATTGGAGGGTTACAAGCCGGGATAATCAATCATCCACATGCGTGAGATAGCGATGTCTTGAGTTCTACCAGGTTCTATCACTCTCTTTGTCTGCAGGAAACACAGAGATGCCGAAGAGCAGCTTAAGATATCCCGCTTATACCTGACGGCATGGTTACAAATACATTACCGGTAACGGCATGCTAGGAGTCGGTACTGGCAATAGCATGTTGCATCAGCGTAAAAAGGGGGCATGGCTGTACCTTGCCTGAGATGAGATTACCTGGCAATGATGCGAAGATCATAGAATTGCCTTTATGATAAGGTCGATGATGCTGACGAAGCCTGCTATAATCATGGTAAAGGCCAAGTCAGGGATGGTAGACGAAATGCACGAGGCTCCAATCATTCCTGTCGGCTTCAAGGGAGGCGACTCCGGCTCGAAAGAGGTTAAAGGTCTGGGCAGCTCAGGGGCAAACATGAGCAACAAATGAAAGCGCATCATCGGAGACTTGTGATGTTCAAGTGACCCCATGGCACCGTGACCTGGGGTAAGTTTGGGGCAAAGACAAGCCCACGGCTAGGATGGTCGGAAGGCTGCGGTTGCTCCATCGTGTTGTCCCCAGTCGAAGTTGACCTATCAGACAAATGCAGCTTCTGCCGCCCGCTGTCAAAACATCTAAACATTTGGCCAAGCAATCAAATCACTCGGGGCTCCGGCAATTGTATGCGAATGGGGTAATTGTGTCAATTAACTCACAACTCTTCCCAGCCAATCGATAGATTATACCCGGTGATAGAACATCGCCGAACAAGTTCCACAGCACCGGCAAATACTGTCAATATGTCAAAGACATCAATCGATGTCTCCAAATTCGGCACTTCCCATTATGTGGCGATGTAATAGCTGGATCTTGCACGACGTAAAAGGATCGTGGGGTGCAACCATGGCTCCCAGGATTTTCTGTCCGTGCCTCATTCCTTGCAGTCTCAGCTATCGTTGCCAGATACGTCGTTAGTTTCGTCGCCGAGTCGTAAATATCAAGTGTCAAGTCGAGGTCGCAAGTCAAGTCAGCTACCAACAAACAGTTGCTTGTCAAGATGCAGTGGGCCATCCTCGCCGCCGTCGCTCTGCTCGCGCAGAATGCGGCTGCTCAGAACATGCTTCGGTTCGCGTGTTCGCAACTCGTTGTTGAGCGAACCGACCCAATCGTCAACAAGGGCGAATTGTGGACTCCTCATCTTCATCAGATCGTTGGAGGCAACTCCTTCAATATCACCATGGACCCGGATACTCACGATCTCGCAGCACTATCTACTTGTACATCATGCACATTCAAGCAGGATCTTTCAAACTACTGGACAGCGGTCATGTTCTTCCACCACAAGAACGGGAGCTATACTCGTGTTCCCCAGGTTGGCAATGGAGGTCCGCAAGGACGTCTGGTGAACAAGGGTGGTCTCGATGTTTACTACATCCCCAGTGGCAAGACCACGGCTTTCAAGAAGGTAGCTAATAGGGCCTGAAAACTCTCTGCAGAAGATTCTGACAAAGATGTAGGGTTTCCGCATGATTGCTGGAAAGGCCTCGAACACGGATCCTAGCAAAGTTGACAAGAGCGCTATTTGCCATCGTTGCTGGACCTCTACGAGCGACAACAACTTTGTTGGTGGTGCTCCTTGCACCGGTAGCGACACTGTCGCCATTCCCAAAGACCCGTCATGCAAGATGATTCGTCAGACCATCATCTTCCCAACGTAGGTGTCAATGGCAGTTAAACCTAGACGACAATTAGCTTACCCTTCTTTCAGCTGCTGGGATGGCAAGAACCTTGACAGTCCTGACCATCAGAGCCACGTTGCATACAGCTCTGGCTCAGGAGCTACAGGAGGTGGCGCATGCCCATCAACCCATCCTGTGAAGCTTCCTCAAATCATGTATGAACTGATGTGGAATGTCACCAACTTCGCAGACAGGAATATGTGGCCCACCGATGGCTCTGACCCCTTCGTTTATAGCATGAACCTCGGGTATGTGCACATTCCGGCTAAATAATGCTACAGTGCAACTTACTATTCCATAGTGGACCCGCAGCTCACGGTGACTACGTATTTGGCTGGGAGAACGACTCTCTCCAGAAGGCAATGGACAACGGTTGCAACCTCAACGTTGCCTGTCCCAAGGCCGGTCTTACCGTTCAAACATCCGACCAGTATAGCGCTTGCACAAAGCAGCAGCAAGCCAAGGAGAATGTCGATGGCTGTAAGTACTGAAAATTGGGAACTTTGACTTATAAAGCGCTGACTATTTCTGTTCTGTAGGGCTCAAAGCTCTTCCTCTAGGTGATATGGCTGTAATGGCTTAAACAAGGCTTTGCGAGTCATAATTTCATCACTCTCGACCGCTTCCAAGCCAACTTTCCCCTAAGTGGTTTATCAATAGACTTTTGCAGCAGAGAAATGATGCCATCCAAAATGCTGCTTCATAGCTGCCGCGTAGTGGGGCTTACATGCCGATGCTGAGACGGGTTTCTTATCATTCGTTTTACACCGACATGTTGTGGATAGTACTTCTTTCGAACTCCTCGCATATCACATTTGTTAGTATAGGTAGATTGTCGATCTTTCAACTTGACAATTCTCACAATGTATTCACCTAGCTCTGAGCGTCGTAATAAATCATTATGGGATTTCTCACCTATCAGGGACTTGTCACAGTGGCCACAAGAGATCCAAAGGCGGACAGTAGAACACGTGAGTAGTTGATGACGGCACAGAGTTCCGAAATTTCATTAAAATGAACAGGCGGCTCATGTCTGTCATCTTGACATTGTCTATTTAATAAATACCGTACATGCTGTTGTCCCTTTCATCCGGACCATTTGATGTTCATTTCCACGTCTCTCCAGAAAGTATCCGCTATGAGAATGACGGTTAAGTAGCTGATGCTAAGAATTCTTCGAAACAAGAGAATCAAAATCAGAATTTGCAGCGCTTGCAAAGTCGTGAGTCCAATAATTTGTTACGTCGTGGACGGGGAAGCTGGATGTATTAGATGAAGGGCTCGACGGCCGACCTGCCGCGTATGCAAACGCCATGCGGTTCGAGCCACTGGGGTTGAGGTAAGTTGTGCGACCAGTGGTTCCTGGGAAGGACGTGCAACCAGTGCACTTCGCCGTGAGCTGCCAGTGAGTTCCATTTGTTCGTGTTCCGGTTTTTAGGGTTTGGTAGGTGGCGCCGGTATAAGCGGTTGGTGTTGTATGTTGCCTGTGATCGTGTGAGGTTCTGTATGTTTAGTTTTGGATGTTGATGGTCTTACGAGGCGTAACGAGAAGACACGATAGCAGAGTTTCCATTTGCCCAAGCGACGGTTAAGGGGTTCGAAGTCATTTTTCCACCCCAGGCAAGGCCAGCCCAGCCTACTTGATTAGGAGCGATAACTTGGAGAACCACATCAAATGGTGTCTGTGAAGACACGCCACTTGGTACAGCGACGCGGAAAGTGATGCCACTGCCCAAATTGTACATGGCATAGTACGTGGAGAATGTGAAGCCAGTCTCAGGATCTCGATACACGGAAGAGTCTGCTGCTAGACTGCCTGGCGCTACATAAGTCGTTAACGAGGAATCTTGAAGGCAATTGATGGTTTACATGCCAATACCCATTAGGGCCGCTGCAAACGTGACCCCAAAAGTCCAACGCATCTTGGGCTTGGGGACACGAATGTTAGACGGCGAGAAATGTGTAATAGAGAACTAAAGGGTAGAAGGGGGTTATCGAAGTGTATGACCTCAGTAAAGGCAATCGTGTCACTAACAACGCCGAGCAGTTAGCGATGTTTTGGGGTAGAGAACATGCCAAGACTGGAGTATCTTGTATTAATCCCGTCACTGATTTCAAGCTGTCTGGAACCCACATTTGCTTTCCGTGAGCAATACAATCTGCTCTGATTGAGGCCGGCCGGCAGGCTGCTTGGGCTTATTGCCACACCTGAGGACACCAAGTGATTGGGCGTGAGACTTCAATTACGAAAATCAGCTCTTCATAGTGTTTAACACGATGTATGGCGGTATGAAAAAGGTTTCGTGGGGATATATGAGAAGAAATATTCCTCTTGGAATCTTGAACGGCGAGCACGAACTTGTTCTCTCCATCGTGGTGATGTATTAAAAATGGGCCGGCCACCGTGTTCCGAATCGACTGCTTCGGGTGGCGGAACGCCGAAAAGTCAGGTTGGAGTAGCAAAGAAGCTACATTGTCAAATGCCATTGTATTTAGCCGTATAGTAATTGGTGTGTATAGCAGCGTGGTTAAATAAGAAGCTGATTCACGTGGGAAGTATATAGCCGCTTGACAGCACCAGGCTTGGCTGACAAAAACAGCGGAGGACATTGGCGCGATCGTTTACATGTGAGATCGAGGCTATGAGGGGCAATGAGCACAATTGGATTTCGAAGTAGCAACTTAATTTCAGACGTCGGGTTTCCTAACTCTGTACGGCAGGTGTGACTACGACACTCAGCCTGTTTCTCTACATCTACAGCGAAGACAAACAGGTTCCCGGGTCATGTCACACCACTAGCAACGTCTTGTTCTAGAAAGACTATTTTGGGGCGCATTGCAAAAGCAAGAAACTCACTTTCCTTGGACCTTTGCAAAAATGAATTTTGGTTGTTGTAATATATCAACATGCAACATACCACTTGGAGCCTCCGTTGACCAGGTTCTACAAGTCAGATGACACAATACAGAGCTAATGACGCACGTAGTAAGAATTATATCCACCATTGTAGTTAGTATGTGTGAGTCTGCTGAGATGATATTTCGGATAAGATGCCGTAGCGAATCGAGGCTCCAGCAGATGGCTGGCCGAAAGATCTCTACTAGTTTGGGGGTCTTCAGTCCAGTCTCAGCATCACTCTGCTCAGATGAGCGAATGCATTACTCCAGAAACAAGAGAGGACCCAGAACATTGAAATCACTAGGTCTAACCTTTTCCAACATTCGAATTGACGTCTTCTCAAAATGTGTGTATGCGAACTAGTATTGGGTACCTTGTTATTTTTGTAAGCGCCTCTTGAGGTTTCGTGGGAGACACGAAGAAAAGTTACTATCGAAACCTGTCTAATCTATACAAGGCTTTGATACAGCGAGCAAAATATCAATATCTTCACAATCCTCCCATAACATCCACCCAGCCTCGAATGGGAATTGTTTCCAAGCAGCAAGCCTGTCGTCTTGGGCTATTTTGCTAGGAAGAGCAAGCGCGTCTTCAAGGGCGCTGGCTGACCATCGCAATATCAGCCGACTTAACTCCTTCTCACGAGACCGTCCAGGCTGATCGAATGGCTCGTAGAACCGACTCCGTAGCTCAGAGACTGCTTGTTCCCGGATTTGGCTGGCTTGAGAATTAGAGCCGCATTTATCAAGCAGCTCTGCAAGATAAAGATGACTTGATGCGGCCATGACGGTATTATCATAATCACTCGCCCAGCACCCACAAACTACCCACATGCCAAACTCCGAGATTATTTGAGAGAACATCAAGATAGCATCGACAAGTTTTCCTTCCAGCATGCAGGCCCGACCTTCGAAAAAGGCGCTCTGTCGGTGCTTGATACACCAAGGGCTACACGTCGTCCCCCGACTGTCGGCAGCTATAGAGTGATAAAGCAATGCTGCTTCCTGATGCTTGGCTGCTGTCGCTTCACAAGATCTTGCTAGACCGATCTTTAGTCTTGTACTCCGAAAGTCACCATCCTGCCAGGCACAGCAATTTCTCGAATAGTACTTGGAGTGAAGCGCCGTACATATCATGTAGCAGTCATATGGGTCCTGCCGCTTTGGGTTATTCTGCAAAGTAAGAGAAAATGCAAGCGCTTCACATAGATATGCTTCCTTTTCCTCTTCAAGGTCCCAATCTGCTGTCATCTGCAATGACCTGAGCATTTTTCGGATCGTTTCTTCGGCCAGGTCATAAACACCCCAGGCCAAGAACGTGAAGGTTATAGATCGTAGAAACTGGTATAACAAGTAACCATCCTCGGCAAAGTGACTTTGAATCAGTGCTGTGTAGTTTCTCACAGCCTCGTTAAGCTTGCTCCTCTTTCCCAAAGTCATGTAAGTATCGATATTGTTCCTGAGTAAGGTTTGAACAACGTTGTCATCTAAGGAGGCTTTCTTCAAAAAGGCAGGTAGGTCGATGAAAGCAGAAAGTTCTTGTTCTGCTTCTGCAAAATTATTGTCTTTGCAGAGACTGTCGATGATAGAATTTGTTGTTCGATCTATGCGCCAATGATGTTGGGGGTCTTTCCTGTCAAGCAGCGTTCTTGCCTTGATCCAGATTGCTCTCGCCTCTTGAAATCTTCCTTGGCTGTCTGTCGCAAGGGCCAACAAATTCATCGATTTGAATAGAGGCAAGTTGCCCATGCACTTAGTATACGACTTGCCCTGAGTAACCGGGAGCATGAGCCTCTCGATTTCTTCGTTGAGACCGTAAAAGTTGTAAATGTTCCCTAGGCATAGGGCCTCATCTATTCTTTTACGTGTCATTGTCGCGCTACTCCAAATAATTGAGTAGCTCCAATTGGACAAGAGTTTGGGGTTTTGTACGGGAACTTGAATGCTTAGAAGTCGGCTCTCAAGTATTTTCGTAAGCTCTTTAGCCTCGTCAATCCGATCAACGCCCAGCATACAATCAACACGACATCTCGCGGCAGAGCACCACCCTAGTGTGACTAGAGGATTCTGCTGGGACTGTGCCAGAATATCCATACATCGGTGATAGTATCGTTCCGCTCTCTCTTCGTCTTGTATTTCGTCATGACATCTCAAACAGTCGCCGACCCTGGCTAAAGCCCAAGCTTCTTTGAGGTCTTTCTTGTTGTGAACCTTTTCGGCTGCCATCATAAATATTTTCAGCGCTTGTTTCGGCCTGGATCTGTAAGTCAAGTGTCCATATGCCATCAGACTGAGAAACGAAAGCCCCTTAAGCGACTTTTCGAGAGCTTGGAATAGGATGTCCAGAGGATTGGCGAGTGCCTTAACATGCATTAAGCACGTGCCGACTTTAGACCCAATCAGTTGCACTTGAGTGATCTTATGTAGCTTTGGGTTTAAAGCCATTTGCTTGACCAGCCCATGTAGTTTGTGGGTGTCGAGTGGCAGTCTCTTGTCAGGCTCTTCCATAACGAAGTCGTACCAGCGCTCAACGTAACCCTGTGGAGCAGGGAAATTTGTAGATCCAAGACCCATTAAATTGATACAAGCTCCTCGCGAGTCATTCTGCTGTTCGTGACGTGAAGATAATTGATCTAGAAGACCTGTAGCAATCGTGTCCGGCAAGCGCGTTTCTGGACCCACAAGAGTATCCCATGCCAGTAGGAAGTGAAGAAGATCATCCCAGAATTCAAGTGGTAAGGGGGGCACTTTAGCTTCACTTCCATTGTCTACGGAGAAAACGTACTCCATCCAGTTGAAGATGTCAGTGGAGTTCAGAAATCCTTCTAAGAGCCCCGATGTCTGCTCAAACTGTGGGTCCGAGCTGAGAATGTGCGACATCGTGTAACTTGATGCGTAATGCAGAAGGGGATATTTCTCGGTCAATTCATCCAAACTCTGGGTGTTGTCTTTGCGACGCCATTCGATATCTATCAGATACCGTAGACAGGCGAATGCAAGGAGTCGTTGACACTCTCTTTGATCAAGACAGAAAAATTGAACGTTCTCATCATCGCTTTCCCACTGATTTGGTGGGCGAAGGAGAAATTCCCGAATGGATGCGTGCCCAAAGTAGACAAGATCATCTTGAACAGTAACAATATCTCCGCAAGCATGAATGATTGCCTCTTGAGTGACAGCGTAGGACTCGATTTCTATGCCGGTCGGTGTAGTTGTCGAAAACGAATATGCATATGCCTGACTGAGTTCAGTCACAGTAAGAGGTCGAGATGCTCCGATTATCAGGCAGAGGAGCCTTTTCGCGCGGATCATGCCTACAGAAGGGGCTTTGGGATGTCCATCGAGCCTCCCTATAAGCATCGCAAAGAGACGGGCGTACTCTCTGTTGAGCTCGTTCGGTGAACGATGAAGAGTACTGTCGATTTCATGCAAGCAGAATGACTGCCGCAGCTGTTTGAAAACGAGCTTGATCCATAAGAACATAACGCTAGACCGAGATTCGAGGTCTATCCGAACGCGCTCGCGAACCGCTTGATCAGTAAGATTTGGACAATTGTCCAACTCAAATGCAATGAGTTTGTTTAGGTCCTCGCCGACCAGCGCTTTGGTAATTTCGATGGATCGATGCCACTTGCTTAATGCAGATCGTAAGCTGGATTGTCGCCCTGTAAGGAGCAGTCGCACATTGCTATTATCTTCAACTAGGTCTTGAAGATTAGCCAGTGGGCCACTCTTCAAATCATTCCAGTCGTCCACTGATTCATCAATACCATCTAGTACGATGTAGACGCTTTGTCGATGAAACTCACAGAGCTTACGAAGTTCGAGGCAGATCGAACTCGGCTTTGTGAGCTCTGCGTGGTTCTCCAACAGTCTGGGGATATGAAGATTCTGCTCATCTTCCGAAAGCGTGTTGAGTAACTGCCACAAAAGACATTTCAACATACTGTTAGACCTCCTGGTCTCATCGTTGCCGGCCCAGAAAGAGAAGAACAGCGCCACATGTCCTCGCTTTTTCAACTCCTGTGCTACTGAAGATGCTAGCACAGACTTTCCACTCCCCTTTACACCATATACGGAGAGTATTCTGTCAGAAACATCGTCAACAGCCGTCATTCGTGTTGATGAACTAGCTATAGCTTCTTCGCGACATCCCATCCAATGGTTGAACGTATCATGTGCCCATAGCCATTCGGCTGTCCCATCCAGCTTCTCGGGTATGAAGTCCAACGTGGATGGGCGTAGAATCTTGCTCAAGTGAGACTTTTGACTGAATTGGATCGTCGACTCGGCCAGGTAAAGTTGTAAAATGCTTGTCGTGCTTTCAATGCGTCGCAAATGTTCTTTGAACTGCTTTTCTAGGCCCCCTAAAACAAGATGCGCACGCTTTAGGACGCCAGGATGCCCATTTGATCCGTTGACCTTGCTTATAAGGCGTTGAAGGCCATCGATTTCAGTTTGGACATCTCGTAATACTGGTGCCAGGCGAATACCAAGGCCCCTGCCTAACAAGCTTCTCTCATTTCGTTGTTGAATATTGGATAATATTTGGCCGAGAACTTCCAACTGCGGCTGAGAGGCGCCGACGACCTTGGCCATTCTAGCCCCGCTAGTGATTTGGCCAGCAGCGGTCGCCACATGTTGCACAAGCTTCACCAACTCGGGGACAGCTGCGATGACGCCAACGACCTCCATCAGTTTGAATACTGTTGCAGAAGATTGATTTTAGGCGTCTGATTCAAACTGAATGTGTTCAAGATCTCTCGATTCAAAAAGATAATAATGCTCAGCCCAGCTTGGTTGCCGCCTAAAGGTGTTTCAAGATGTCCAATGAATGAGCCATTCTCACACAAGCTGTTCAGGATGTGGCTATGCTTGTGCAAGCATGCACCTCGGACACTACCAGGCAGTGCAGCCAATAACTTTTTGACCAAGATGCAAGCCTTCATACACTCGTTGATACTTCTTATATTGTCCTGTACATTTGTATTTTCTCTTCATACAGAGCGCTCTCAAGCACGACACTCCCTTCTCGGCCAAAGGAATATCCTCATCTTTCATGCATTCAACCCCTCCGCCGTATTTATGTACCTGTTCAAATCCACACACTTCAACGGCACCATCTTCGTGCGGAACCACACCTTGTACCCGACAAACAGGGCCACGAAGATGATCAGACTAACATAGCACGCAAAGAAGTCGCTCGTGTGCCAGTCGATAAACACCGCAAAGCCATTCGTCACCAGGATCAGCACGTTGAAGAACAGGCCGTACCACGACAGCCACGGCTGGCAGGGCGCCAGGTACGGCAGGTCCGCGAGGGGGATGCGCTGCGCGCGCAGGGCCTGCCGGAAGCGCACGTGGCACGCGTTGATGAGCGCCCACGCGATGAAGCCCGCCACGGACGTGATGTTGAGCAGCCACGTGAACACCTCGGCGCCGCTGGCCGAGAGGTTGAGGAAGCCGACCAGGCCGAGCAGCGACGAGAGCGCCACGGCGACGTACGGCGTGCCGTGGTTGTTTGTGCGCGCGAACAAGGCGGGCGCGTGGCCTTCTTTGGCGAGGGCGACCATGATGCGGCTGCTTGAGTAGAGGTTCGAGTTGGCTGCTGAGAGCACCGCGGTGAGCAGGACAGCGTTAATGATGTGTGCCAGCACATGCACGCCGGAGAGGTCAGCGATGATGACCAGCGGCGACGCTGAAGCGTCAGTTGCGTCCATCTGCAGGTTCTCGTTGGTATACGGCACGTCGATGCCGATGAAGAAGACGAGGGCTATGAACAAGACCGTGATGCCCCAGTACGTCCAGCGAATCGCCGACGGGATCGCCTTCTCCGGGTTACTCGTCTCGCCCGCACCCACGCCCACCAGCTCCGCGCCCTGGAAGCTGAAGCCGGCCGTGATGAGCACCGCCCAGAATCCGACAAACTTGCCGATGGCGCCGTCGACGAGGTGCTCCGCGAACAGCCCCGGATGCACCCAGTACTTGAAGCCAAGGTACCCCTGGTCGCCGACGCCCGCGTTCACACAGATGGCGAAAATAATAAAGCCGATGACGGTGATGACCTTGATGCTGGAGAACCACATCTCCAGCTCGCCGTACCAGCGGATCGGCAGGAAGTTGACGGCCGTGAAGATGGCCCAGAACACGGCGATCCAGATGGCGATGCTCAGGCTATTGTCCCAATACTGGATGATGAGACCCGCTGCTGTAAGCTCGAGAGCATATGTGATGGCCCAATTGAACCAGTAGATCCAGCCGAGAGCAAAATCCCATGCCGGATCGAGGAAGCGTGTGCCGTAGACGGTGAAAGAGCCCACGACTGGGATGTACGAGGCCATCTCGCCCAGACTGACCATAACAGAGTAGACAACCGTGGCGATGAAAACGTAGGCGATGAGAAGCGACAAGGGGCCCGAGACAGCTAACGCAGAGCCCGTTCCCAAGAACAATCCTGTGCCAAATGTACCTCCAATGGCAATGAACTGTAGATGCTGGCTGTGCAGGGCTCGCTCGAGGCCGCTGTTGCTCTCGCCGGGCTCGACATCGTCTGTCGTCGGCCGCTTGCCATTGTCACCCTTCTCACTGCTGCCCCGGGGAGACTTCTCCGCAACAGGGGCGGCTGAGGCGTCTGCCATGTGTCAATCGATGAGATGATTGCCGAGACGGATGTGCTTGTGCATGCAGAAGGGGTAGGAGCGAAAGCGCTTGGATAAAATCACCAGAGAGAAGGGCACGAGAGCAGATACAAAAGGACTTTGGCATGAAGGAGTCACCTTCCCCAAACGCCGAGCAAACTTACATTTTCTTCGAAATCTTATGTAAAAGTTACGTCTGCGGATGGTCAACGGGAGTCATTCTGATGGCAAATCGATGCCCGAACTCGCTGCGTCCAGCGAGCGAAGACATGCCCCCTGAATTTCTAGTTCGATTCGCTACCCACTCGTAACAATCCTCCCCGTGACTCTTTCAGCATCTCTGTTGCTCTCACCGATACCAATTGAGACATTGCAGCAGTCTCAGAGCACACGGCCAGCCCCGAATCACGAGCTCACAAACGAGGAAAGAAAAATGTTCAATCAGACCATCTGATTCGGCGCCTCGCTGGGCCTAAAGTTTTTATTCCCGCCCCACACATGCGTATGACGCAGACGGCTCTGGGCTTTGCTCCTGACTACTGACGGCGATCCGGGCGCCGAACTTCGGCAGATGGGCCGCTACAAGGGCGCTAGAAAGCTTCGAGACTTTCTAGCGGCTTGGGCGCGCGCCGGTGAGATGAGGATCTCCCCCCTGTTGTGGATGCATGTCGACTCGAAGCACAAACTGGTCCGTATCGCTGTAGCGGATGTTAATTGTAAAGAGCTTGAGATAGGTGTTGCATTTGAACGCTTTACATGAGAAACGCAGGCGAAGTCTTCTTCACTGTCCTACCCTCCTCTCTGGTGCTCAAGGCACTGGGACCATGTCGGTATCAGAAATCAGGGCGGACAAGGAACCGAAGTCTTCTGTAACAATAATGTCTAGCTGTATGCCGCCTGTTGTGCGGGTGCTACCATGCTCTTTCGCAATGGCTCGAGTCTATCATCTATCATCCACAGCCTCTCTATGATACACCTTTGTAGCTGTCATTGAATTGCGCCGTCGCCCATGTCAACAGCCCGATGAGAGCTCCCATCGGCATGTAGTCTATAGTGCACAATGGTAATCCAAAAACTCCATGTCATGACGTCTTTAGTACTGAGAACACGTAAACGACCCGTGGACTGTGCCGTCCTTGTACTGCTCGATCTGTCGCGAAAGTCAGCCTCGTCATTCAGAAGCACCATCGACAGAGAATAAGGGGGGTCACTCACAATATCAGCAACGCTAGCATAAGTGCCAACGCCCAGCACCACCATGCCAATCACAAAGCACAGGCCGTTCGAGACGCTCAGAAGCAGGTTCTTCCTCTCCCACCAGCGGCCCTCCTTGATGAGCATGAACCACATCGCGGCAGGAAGGTAGAACGTGAAGCCGGACACGAACAGCGACGAGATGAGGCCGAGCAGGTCCGAGAAGAAGGGGATGGCCTCGGCGATGACCCACGCGACGACGGTGACGACGACGACGAGCGCCAGCCAGGTGATCCAGCCCACGGGCGTGTTGATGTAGCGGATGACCGAGTCGCGGAAGACGCGGCCGTGGATGTAGCGCGCCACGACGGTGGTGTTGATGCTGCCGGAGATGAAGATGACGGGCAGGGCGAGGCCGAAGGCGATCTTGGAGGGGACGTCGCCGGCGGACAGCAGCGCGGGCGAGGCGACGCCGTTGCCGACGAAGCAGTAGACGATGGCGCCGGTGCACGTGTAGATGACGATCTCGATGGTGCCGAGGGCGACGATGCTCTTGGGGAAGTCGGCGGGGGTGTGCATCTCGTCCATGAAGCTGAACTGGCACATGGCGAAGCTGTACGCAAAGACAATGTCGAGGATGGGGATGAAGGCCTCGTACAGCGACAGGTTCGGCTGCGGCCAGGCGGACCAGTCTACTGCGCTCAGCCCGCCCACGCTGTCGCGGGCCTGGACGCCGGTGGCGATCATTGTGAAGATGATGGCGATGAGGATGGACGCGAAGTCGATGTAGCCCAGAATGGCCAGGTCGGCAAACGTGGGCGGGATGGCGAGCAGAAACAAGATGACGGCCGAGACGACACTGAAGACGATGGAGCAGGTGCCGTGGTCGGTGAGGTTGTTGAAGGCAATGGTGCCGGTCAGAGCATGCGAGCCCAGCGTGCATGTCAGCTGTAGCACGAACATGGCACCGACCAGCTCGTACCCAAAGCGGCCCATCATGAGGCGGCCGGCGTCGGCGTAGTGGGAGACGTGCGGGAACTTGAGCTTGACCTGGCCGACGACGTAGCTGGTGTACATGGCGATGATTCCAATGCCAACACAGCAGATCACACCGGCGACCATGCCCAGCTTGGCGAAGGCGCCAGGGAGACTGAGGCTGCCGAGGGCAATGGCCTCGACTATGAGGACAATGACGAGGCGCTTCCAGCCGAGACGATGGAAGTTTGCGTTTCCTTGCGCAATCTTTTGCTTTTCGAGGTCGGTGGGCTCGATCTGACCGGTGCTGGAGGGCCGTCTCGCCAGCAGGCCGGTCCCGTGCTTCTTGGTGCCGGAGGGTCCCGCGGGAGCAACGGTCTCTTTGCCGTCATTCCTGAGGATCTGGCCCTCTCTCTCTCTAGACAAGGCTTGCTGCTGCTCAAAGGGCGGTGGTGTTTCGGCCGCCATTGTGAATGGGCTCCTTGATGCTTGATCGGTTGATTTGTGTGTATTAGTTATTATGGTATGAGGGGGACGCTTCTTCTTTCTCCTACAGCCCACCCCTTTCGTCTGACAGTTGATGCTGTTCCACACAGTAAAGATGCTCGATAATCAATTAATTAGTTGATTGAAAGATGTAGGTTGGAATCCAGAAGAGAGGAAGGAGGGGAGACAAGAAAAGGAGGCGCCTCCTCCCACGAGTAATTAGCTGCAGCGACCTTCCGGAGACGGGCCTGCGGACGCTGCCATGGCGCCGGATTACTCTATTTTGCGCTGTAATCAAATCATCGTGGAACTGACTGGAGCGCAGCCCAAAGCCCTGGGGCGTGTCTCGGAACCAGCCAGAGGAGGCCAGGCTAACTTGGGGACGGCGGCGGCGGCCATGGCAAGGCAAGGCAAGACAAAAGGTGATCGGAGTTGTGAAGTCTGAAAACGTTTGTCATAGTGTCATGCTTTGCCCCGCCAAAATGGAGTCAGGCCCTAACTTACTACAAGTAGAGTAGAATGGTGCCTTTGCCCCGCCGCCCACCGACCGCTAACCAGCAATGCAAAACGCGCACCCAGCTGATCGCCATTTCGTGGTTTATCGCTCGTCAAAGTGCTCCACCATGATCAACTGTTCCCCTGAGCTGAAATGATGGCGATTCAAATGCCTTCGGTCTTTGGGAAAGCGTTGGATTGTTAGGTACCTAGCACGTCTAGGTAGAGTGTTGACTGTTGACTGTTAAAGCCAAGCATCTCGCTCGCTCGATCTACCCGCACTAAACCGGCCCACCATCCGATGAGGCTCCCCACTGTAACCTGTAACCCTGCACAACGTTAACGCTGCTAACCCACAGCTGATCACCTGTGGCTGCCGGGAGGCGTTAGCTTGGCATGCCAGGCACAGTCAGTACATGTACAGACCGAGAGGCCCTTATTATTTCGGGAATGGCACACTACTGCTGGCCCCTCTGCTGATGTTTCCTGCGCAGTGAAAAGGGACTCGGTTCTAGAAGACCCTAACGTTACCATAACTTGCGCCGCGCGCCAGTGTCCGAGCCATCCGATGCCACCCGCAAGCCATAGCCCGTAGCCCACAACCCACAACCCCGTGTTCGCTGACCGTAGGCCGCTTAGTAGCAAAGCACCGTATACAGAACGTCCCATGACCTGAATATGTTTTTCATCTTGCCTACAGTACCTAGGGATTAGACGGCGGCTTTCCAGTCCAGCTGGATGGGAGGTCTCAGGCATAGGCATAGGCAACCTTGATTTGATTGCATTGTGGGGAGGTCGGCCAGCACCAACCAGCGTCCGATCGCGATGCATGCGTCACTTTGGCAATTCTATAATCCTGCAATGCGCAGCAGATGATTGCCCTTGTGCCTTATGGCTACTGGCGTTCTCCTGGAATTCTCACTCTTTCATGTTCAGATGGCAATTTGCCCAAGAGACTCCCCCCCGTCACCGTTAACATAAGGACTCCGAAATTCGTAGTTGACCTCTTAAGATTGAAAGTCTATCTCACAGAGTAACCACCAGTTTCTCGCAGCTCACACTCATCACTTCATCCATGACGCTCGGCAACTGCTCCAGCCCGTGGCCTACCACTCGTACAGGTACCGGAAGTTTATATTTGTCTTCTTCCACCAGTCGTGCAAGGGCTTGAACGATGGCCTCTCGGTCCTGCAACTTGACCAGGGAGCTGCCGATCACATCAAACTTTGTGACATCCTGTGGTACTGGTACGTCAACCCCAGTCATGAGCGATGCGTACTTCTTAGAGCCAGACGGGTCTAGAACGTCACATATGTCAGTCTGTGACGCCCCAGCACTGACGCAGTCGATGATCATATCCACTCCTCTTCCGCCAGGCGATGCAGTCTTGATGTCTGACACCACACTAGGCGAGTGATAGTCAAAGACTCTGGTTGCGCCGCGCGAGGCGACATGGGCGTGATTCTTGGGCGAGCTTGTTGCAAGAATTGGCAGTGAAGGATGAGCGAGCCTTAGTAATTGGATTGCTGCGGCACCAGTTGCAGAGCTACCGCCCAGGATCAACACAGATGAAGGCGTGTCTCCCGAAGTTGATGTGCCGGGTAGGTAAGGGAGTGAGATATTTAGAGCCCCGTAGATGACCATAATCGCAGAGACATAACCTATTCTAGACGTAGTAACACTGTCAGTATTCCGTTTCTACTAATAGCTCATGGCTTTGCTTGTTCTTAATCGGAATAGACTCACGGTAAGGATGCAGCCTCCACGAGGCTGATGTTCTTCGGCTTCCTGGCTACAGCCCACTCTGGCATGACGACGTGCTCCTGATAGGCACCTCCCCAGTCCTCGCCAATTTCTCGACCAGCCATCCATGCTGTGACCTCATCGCCAGGCTGGAGGTGGTTGACGCGCGGTCCAACTGCCTCCACAATGCCTGCACCCTCAACACCGAGGATATAGGGCCATTTAGAGATCAGTATCCCGAGATCGCGCTGTTTACAGTCCAAGCCATTAAGGGCGACGACTTGCTGGCAGACGAGAACCTGGCCAGGGGAAAGCGTTGGGATCGGGATCTTGACAATTCTCAAGGGACCGCCTTTCTGGAACAGCTGTAGCTGGGCCGTCTCATTATCAGGCTTTGTCGCCATTTTTGCTACGATTCAAGTCACAGTCAAGATAGCTGCTCGATTTTGATCGTTACGAGACTTCGATAGTAATATGGAAAACTGGCGAGGAACACCCATTATATAGATATTCTCACTGATTCTTTACTCCATGGCACCCCAATCTAAGAACTTCATCTTTCGAGCATAATTGACAGGCGAACTAGGTCTTGTCGCATGTAGAAATGATACTTTCTTCCATAAATGGTTAGTAGCGGCCGGGCTTGCAGAATCTCTGCAAGTATATAATGGTAAGCAGCGCTGGCAAAACACTGTACTCACCGTAAGAGTAATACTGCAGTCACCTGCCTTGATATGGATGACCGGCACTGGCCTGCGGTTACAGCATCTCCACTTTAGAGTGCCGCTCTTCCACTATAGCATTTTTTGATTAGTAAGAATAGCTTAAACTCACCTTAGTTCAGAAATGGTAAGCGGCGGCCGACGGCTGTGCATCCCCCTTCAGATCTCAACCTACGACATGAGCTACGCACTACGCTTTCCAAGCGAGCAGGGTCACACGCATTTGACAGAAACATTATGCCTAATAATGCTAAGAATTCTGCAAACGTCTGCTACTCTTGCAAGCAGCGCAAAAAGAGATGCGACAAAGTGTTGCCGTCCTGCGGCTTCTGTAAGTCCCACAGTCTGCGCTGTCGATATGATCTAGCGGCCCCGAGGAATAATGGCCACCGCAAATACAACCCTGGCAGACACTTTGTGCTTCTTCCGAGTCCACACGCTCCGAACAGCCCTGATTCGGCTGACTTGATCACGGGCCAGTCTTCAGTCCAGTCGGCAACCTGTAATCTGGCTCTCTCAAGACAAAGTGGAATATGTTACAACACGTGGTCTATTCACGAGTCGACTAGTTCACAAGTACAGGATATTATCACCCGTCTACAAGTCTCGCCAGAGGACATCGGAGACCGTTATTTCCAGACATTCCACCAATTGCTTTCAATAGTATCACCGAAACTGTTCAACGAGACCATTTCTAAGTATCGAAGCGATGGTAACAATCTACCTCCAGACTTCTCCATCTTATTACTGGTCATGTGTCTTGTGATTACAATGCCGGGCGTGGACCAAACTTTACAACGACCCTATCTTCCACGGGATCACATTTATAGAACAACAAAAACGCTTTTTGCGCAAGCTCAGGCGACTATGCTTCCATCTGTGCGACTAGTCCAGGCAGCACTTCTCATGTCTCTGTGCGAGTACGCTTCTGCTCGCCCTGATGCAGCTTATGTTTCCATGGGAACGTGTGTGGGGTTGGCACGGATTCTTGGTGTCGAGCGATTGTTCGTCGGATCGCACAAGGCCAAGGGTGACGATGATTCGGCAGAAGTTGAGAGGATCAATATTGCATGGGGTCTGGCGCTAGTCGAAAGGTATGAGAAAAGTGATATGAGACGGGACTAGAGGGAGCAGAGTTACTAATTGTATAAATCAGGATCATACTGTGCGAGTTGGATCGGCAGGACATACAACCAATGACTCAGTACCCGAGCTCTGATATTCCATTGCCTTCGGATCTACCATTACCGCCGTCGGCCCCAATACAACAGCAACTTGCTATTCGACCCGTCAATTCCACCACCACGTCTTGTCCATATGCAGCCAAGGCAGATCAGTTTGGCCGTTTAGCGCAAGCAGTATCGTTGCTTGATCAAATCTTGACCTTCAACCATCCTGTTGCGACTAGCAAACAGGATTCAATCTTGCAACTTAAGGAGCTTGACAGCAGGATCCGTGGCTTTCTTTCAGTCGTTATGAGTGAAAGGGGCAACACAACGACATCTGGATCAACGATAGTTGCAATTACCTTAAGGTTCGATCCTCGGCAAAACTTTCCTCGACTATAGGCAAACCGAAAGCTAACATTAAGATGTGCAGGTCACTTTTCCTACTTCATAAGACTGTCATAGACACGTGCAAAACCTCAGATGTACGCTCAGACGATGATACGAGATGCGCCTCGTTGGCCGCGCTAGATTCAGTCAGCAAGATGGTCGTAGATGCGGCTCTATGGTATGGTCCAGATACCGGCAGCATTATGCCAATTTGCTGCTACTACAACCTCCAATCCACAATAGAGTACATGCAGGAACGCAACAAAACTTGTCACGACCGGAATCTGTTTTCGCAGATTGATTGTTTGGTAGAATTGAAGGAAAAGTATTGTAGACAATGGCTGTTCTTGGAAGACCGGATGTAGCAACAATGTGGTCTGAGTAGACTTGAAGAGTGATAGATCGACGCAGTCATTTCTGCCAAGACTAAAGAAATGACTCAGGGGTGTTGCTCGTGTGATGAGTTATCATAATTGGTCTCTCAGACTATTACCGTGAGCAACAGCATGATACACTTGCGTGTCTTGCCCGACCTGAAGTGTGTAAAATCGAGAGTTTTATAAACTTGCGAAAATACTACATTTTGCGTGTTTAGAATAGGCGCAGTGTCACTGGACAAACAATTTCCTGAAATCATATCATTCAAGTGATTGAATGGCATTTTTCTATAAAGAAACTCTAATCCCCCCCCCCCCCCCCCCC